CTGACCTTCCTGCAGGTGAGAGCTGAGACAGGATTCATCCAGGTGCTTTCTTCCTCTATAATTCCTGTGTGCTGGTCTCTTCCTCTCTGCTATGTCTTTTCCCTACCCCTCTTTTTTAACCTCCATCCGCCTTTTCTTTCCCCCACTTCTGTCCTCATGCTGGGCTCTTTGGCTGGGTAAGAGAATGGGCACAATCTGCTCCTGTGTCCAAGGACTGGAAGGGCCTCCAGCACCCCACCAGTGTCTGCCACAGCTCAGAGGAGAAGCAGTTTAATGGCTCAGTTATCCAAGAGGGCTTCTGACTTTGTCCATCACACAGAGCTCTCATCACTGCAACCATGACTCGTGACATTTGCAATCCTCCATTTGCCAGGAGATGCCACAGCATCCTCCCTGGCCTAGGGGGGTCTTTGCCAACAAGCAGACTCAGCCTGTCCTCTGGGAGAGCACCACTGGCCACACAGCTCTGCCTGGGCAAACCAGCTCCATGGCCCTGCCAGGAACCTGCAAGGAGCTGTGTCACAAACAGGGAGACATTTCACCCCACACCTTCTGCCCAAACCCCTTGCACACCAGTCTGGCTTCCCCAACAGACATCTAGAGTAGTGTGTACTTTGAGAAGAAAATAACAGAGACTCCCAAGCTGTGCACACAACTGTCCTCCTGAAGGGAAAATTGGAGAAATGTTCATTGTGCTGTTCAATTCTCACTGGCGTATTGGGTATGAGAAGGAATAAGACACTGAAAGAATGAGCACAGACTAGCTCAGGCAGCGTAGCTTTGAGTTATGGTCAGCTATACAGAATGAGCCTTTTTCTCCATTTCTTAAATAAGAAATGGGATTGTAATGCAGCAGCTCAGAACTGCCATGGAAAGCAAGCTGTGACATAAAGATGAAGTACTAAAATGACAACTGTGATGGCATTGGTGGTGTATGATCAGGCAAAGGAATAGTATCAATGCTGAAGATAAATCTGTATGGAAACAGCAGCTCCAGCCTGGTCGGTGTTTCCATTTTCTGCCTTCCCATGCCCACCAGAAGAGTCCTCCATCTCTGTGAAGTTAGAAACATTTCTAGGTTAGATTTTCACTAGGTTAGTGAAATAGAAAGGATTTTGCAGGCAGCTTTCTCTGCAGGGCCAGAAAACATTTGTGGAGCACATGAAATGGGAAGAGCTGGAGGCAGCAATTAGTCCCAGTCACTACATGGTTCGCAGCACCCAGCAGCTTGAGCTGCAACAGCACCGTGTCTGGAAGGAACAGAAGGACCAATCCCAAATCCATCATTCCCAAAAAATGCCCTGAAGTTTGCAAGGCCACAGGGCAAATCATGGTGGGGCTTCCCCCCTGCCTGGGCTGTTAGCCGGTCTTGCTCACTAGGGGAGGGAGATGGCACCCAACCACCAGCTCTTGTCAAAGCTGGGCTTCATCGTAACCCCCTGGTAATTTAATAGTCCAGTGCTTTTTTTCTGTTTCTAGCCTATACATTAGCTATATTCCCATGGGGGTTAAACTGTCCCAGCAGGCCACTAGCTTCCCTCTCCACACTGCACAGATCCAAACCTTCCCCTCCAGACACATCCCCACACAGTACAAAATACATGCCTTTTTTTGGGCTCTGTTAACCAATTTTGAGAAAGGGCAAAGAAACAAATGACATTTATATGATGAAAGCAGTTCCACAAGGGGCAACCACCTGCAAAAAGCCGCTTCTTAATTCTTCCTAGAGTGAGTTGGAGGTACAGAAACAGCACTACAATAAAAGCAGCCCTTCCCTTTTGATCCATACTGTTTTAAATCTTGCATGCTACTCAGGAGGCCTTTTGCTTTCACAACCCCAGTGCTTTAGTACTTAGAAGTACCACTGGATCATTTCTATATATGGAGATCAAAAATCTCACCTCTAGGTTGTAGTAGTGGAGGACAAAACAGAACCTAAAGAGAGCCTGGACACTGAGTTATGGCCTAGAGGCTACTTTCCCTCAACTGCAGGTCCTTGCAGACCCAAAGTAACCTGACAACTGCTGCTGTCTAGGGACAGGAAGAGGAGGAGGAGTACAGCAGGAAGGATGAAGATGACCATGTCCAGCAGCAACAGACAGTCTTGCATGTTCATCCCCAGCAGCAGCTGGATGTCGCATCACACAAGGGTACAAGGGAGAAGGAAGACAGTCACTAATCTTGACATTTGACATCTTAAACTAAGCACATTAAAAACGGGTCATTCCTTGTCCCCAGGCTTAGAGCAGCTCATGCATTTCAACTCCACTCATGATTCCAAGACCGATTTCTAGTCAAGTCACCAAACTGGTATTTTGGCTTATGTTCCTTCTAACTCTTGGCTTTACAGCTGGAGATGAGAGCCTGTATCCTGCAAGCTGAAGGGCAGAGCAGATTTAGTTAGCTGCACTTTCTGTATCAAAGGTTACAATATTAATTTCTTGTTTTAAGTACCTCATTTCCCAGAGGAGATATATTGTCTATGTTGTGCCCAGCCCTTCTCTGTGGCTCAGAGTCCTGGGTTTACCCAGTGGGAAATCCTAAACCCAGATTGGAAATGCTGCTGTGGGTCTGGACCGTGACTATATCTGCCCTCACATTTCTGATTCTGTGGCTGAAGGCAGAGCATTTCCTCAGTGCATGTAGGTGCCTCAGAAATAGTTTTGACTGTTCAGGGTGAGAGGAGAATGGTTTGGCTTCGAGCCAAAATGAGAATCCTGTGATCCAACAGGGCTGTGTTTGGGGGTCTGCCAAATCAGCAAATGATCTGCTATAAAGCAGTGAGACAGAGCTGGCTGTACAGACAGGCAGCACAGTCATTCATTGCAAGCTGAGGACACACTATTGCAGCGAGGAGACCAGCCAGCATGAGGTTGAATGGTTAGGAATCAATGCCACCAGCATTCCTGAGGAAATTGGGCTTTATGTGGAGTGGCAGGTTCCAGTTCCTAGAAACTACTGGGATGTAATTGATGGTTTTGTACCATTTTGCTGGTATTTTGCCCAGTAGCTCTGTGTCCTCCCTCTGGCTGTGCAGCAGAGCAGAGCTCAGACTGAACATTCACACACATCTGGGATTCCCTGCTGAAAGGTTGCCTTCTTGGGGCATCACTTGGCCAAAATCACCTTTCTGCAAAGGTGCTCCCTGACCCTGAGGTGTTAGAGCAGCAGGAACCCCACTACCAGCTCCAGGAGAGCTGCATGGGCACTCACCTGCTGCCTGAGCAGGCCCAAGCAGCAAGGTGCAGAGAAGGCAGGTGGCTGCTCAGGACAGTGAGAGCAAACTGATTATAAACAAGATTTGCAATGGACATAGAGAGCCCTGACAGAAGCCTGGCTTTGCTTTCCGACAGCAGCTCTTCCATAGAGCAATACCCGTTGCTGACTGAGTGGATTTAAGAACTCGCTCCACTCTCACTCAAGCTGACAAACTGTTGTCAGCCCCAGCAGCAGGTTCCTGCTCCTTTCCTTGTGCCTGCAGCTGTACTCATCCATCCTGGCAGGAGGCTGCTGTCAGCAGCTAACTTGGTCAAGAAAGAGATATTTAATTTTTTGGACTTAATTTTGTTAGCATGCTGGTTTCTCACTGGCTTAGATACAGTCCAGGGTTGTACCCTGTATCTACAAATCAGCAAAGAAATGAGGCAGCATTTTAAGGCTGAGTCTGTTATTAGAAATAAAACATAAACCAGGCAGTGGTTATATCACTTTGGTGATATACTGAAAGGATCATGTCCAAACTACACATTCTAAAATAATACTACACACTCACGCACCTTAAAATAAGATTTTTAAAAGGGGAATTTGCATCTACTATCAAAATAGCAAATAGTATGCTTGGGAAAAAGGAAAAACAGAAAGGCTGTGATCAAAGCTAAACTGTACACATTAAAACACAGTCTGTTTCCTTAGCCTGGGCACTAAGGACTCAGTCTTACCCCTTGATCTTGTGTATAAGCCGATAGTAAAATGCAGATATTATTGAAGTATGCCAGGGTATGAACATAAAACTGTCACATCTCAGTTAGTCACCTCTCCCTTTGCTACAGAAACTGCCTGTTGGTTGCCAGAGATACGTACACAAACAGAGCAGACTCCTGTCTTCTCCTGAGAGAAATGAGCCAGCTCAGCTGGCTGCTACTGCAGCATTCAGAGAGTCCTAATGGAGAGGCATCAGTGAGGCCTGTCTGTGACAAGGAGTACAGAGAAGCAGGGAAAAGGCTGCAGAAGGGACCTGGCAGCCAAGCTGAGCCAGACCCTGCCGTGCTGTTCTTTGGTGCTCTCGAAACATGGTCTGCCCCTTTCTCAGTGCAGTCTCTGCACCCGTTTCTCTGATGGCACTTGGCTGACTAATCCTCGGAGCAGTGATGCCTTCTCAGACATCACCATGCAGATTTAAAGTACTTCCCCCCGAAGGAAAATCATCTGCAGAAGCATCTGCCAGCTGAGATGGTGTCTCCCTTTGGATGCATTTCAGACTGGGCTGCCACAGCTGTGCAGCACAGCACACATTGGCAAACCTGGCTCCTGTTGAGAGCCAGAGCCAAGGAAGGGAACACCAGCACACTCTCTCCACATGGGAGGGCCAGGCACCAGACCAAGGGGTTTTACATAGTGGCCAGTGAGCTAGACATGTTTTACATTGTAAGTGGTCAATGGGCCTTCTTGCAAAAAGTCTTTTTTGAATTTTTCTTATCCAGGAGGGAAGCACCAAGCACTGCCAGGAGAGAGCACATTTTGCAGGAATAAAAGGAGAGTTAAGTCAGGCCAGCCAGTTAGCCCAGTCTGTGCTCTGTTGCACCTTTCATCATGGGCTTTGTGAGAGAGGCAGGCCTCTACACTCAGTACTTCTTTTATTCTCAGTATGCCTTAGACAAGTTCAATCTTATTAACTGATTACAATCAGCCTTGCCTTCTGGCTTTGCAACAACTCTGAGCAGAAGCACCCAATGAATATATTGTGTTTTATGGGTTCTTCTGTCTTGACAATCTCATTTCAGACAAGAGTATCGCCCATGGACTGGAGCCAAACCATCCAAGCCTATAAAGACAAAACAAGGCTTCATTATGCCAGAAGACCATTTTGTTCAAGAGACAAGCTACAAGGCAGACTTTAAGGTAATTAACAGTTTTTAAAAATCCTAAAGTCAATGAGAGTAAAGCCCAAAGTGTACACATCAGGAACTACTCATTTTTTAGCAGTGGTGTGTGTAGCCATGTCCTCACTGACCCCTCTTTCATCACTGCCCATTAGGTAACGTGGCCATCCCTTGTCTTCAGAGATATGTGCTAGACAATGTCATGCTGTAACTGGTCATCATTCAACCCATAATTCAATGCCTCAAGTGGATACCTTATGTACAAGGTGTGTGTGTGCCATCCCCTCTCTGTGTGTAAGGTGCAATCAACACCCTCTGCACACCCTTGGAGTGGTCAGTGTGCACCAGCACTAGGGCTGCAGTGTGAGATTCAGCCTCTGGTACCAACATCAACCACGGGCACAGGTGTTTGCATGGGAACCTTTGCAGATCCCTGCCTGAGGAACAGCACACACCCAGGCAGGACAAAACTCCCCCATGCTGGTGGGGGCAGAGGCTGCCCCCACTACCAACACCAGGGAGGACACAGCTGTGGTGAGCAGCCAAGCTGCACAGCTCTTGGGCCTCTGAGACTTCCTTGGGATTTTCCCGTGAGTTTCTACAACCCTCTATACCAGTGAAGATAATTTTCTTGTTCATGAAATACATGTTACTGAAAATCCCCCGAGGAAATGTTCTCTCTGTACTCAGCATTTTCCCTAGCAGGGCCCCACACACTCCCCATCCCCACAAGGAAGGAAAGTGCACACTGACAAGGCTCTGGTTTAGCTGCTTTTTGCATTAGACCACCAAGGAGAGCAGCACCTCGCAGCCGACTGCAGAACTGGTTCAGAGGCTGCACTGAGTGATTCAGAAAGCAGAGATGGGGCCGGGGCTGAACTCCCCAGCCAGTGTGCTGTACTGTTCGAGGTAATAGCAGCTACTCCAGGGCCACATGTAAAAAGTAAATCTTTGCCTTGGAGGAGACAAGGAAGAAGTGTTTAATCAGCAGACAGTCAAGTGCCTCCTCCGCAGAGGATTGCCAGCACACTGCTGCGACAAGGCACACGATGGGTATATCCAGCTCTGCTGCAAGTGGGACAGTGACCTCAGGCAAAACAGAATTTGCAAACCTCACCAAAATTTCCTCCTTGCTCTAAATAGTCTGGGCTGCTTACCGAGGTGCAGCAATGAGGATAGAGGGTATTTAACCCTTACACCTTGTATTTTAATGCTTGTGAATTTAATTTTTCATTTTGACCCTAGAGGGGTCAAAATACAGTGTCTTCCTATTTAGCAGATAGGATGCAAAGGAGAGGGTCCTAGATGAACCCCTTGGAGTCCCTATCCCAGTTCTCAAGGAAAGGAAAGGAAGACTGGAATCCCAGACACAAACATTTGCTGCCCAGGACACTGCACTCTGGACCACGCAGCAAAGGTCTTGTGTCCTGGAGCCCCAGGGTACAGCCTCTCTCACAGACAGCATGAGAAAAGTGTAGTTAGGAACAAAGATGGTGCCAAAGAGCCACCAGTTCAAAGAGAAGCCAGACTGTCTCTGGTTCACACTTGATCATTTGGACTTTCCCTCTGGCCTGAAAGCCCTGGCTTTGCCAGACATGTGAGAGTCAGGTTTACATTCTGTCCTGACAGCCTACACAGAGGACTCAGGGGAATGGCTCTCTCCAGCTGTGCACAGGCTGTTTGTGACATATCATTTGTTCCTCAGTGTGTCAGATGCATCCCCAGAGGAACGGAAAAATCAGAACAATGAAATAATAACAACCAGATCAATAGCTTTCCCTTTTCCCCCTATACTCTCTTTGCCTGTGGTCTTGCTCTTCTTTCTCTGCTTGGATGGTGCCCATCCCATCAGCATACCCAGCAGAGCTTTCCACCCTTTCATGTTTTATGGCCAGATTCACCCAGAGTCCTGGGCTGGATGCACATCTATGGCCACTGCTGTTTCAAAACCTTTGGGTTTTCAGCATTAAGGATGACAGAAGCATCCAGGTGTCCTTCATGCTTCAGTACAACCAAACCAGATACATATTACATGTAATTATGACTCCACAGACACCAGAGAGAACAACAACTTATCTCTGCCTTTCCTTTCAACATCCTTATCTGAGTCCTTGAAGTTTCACAGCCTGGCACGGCCTGTTCTCCTTTGGGTACTCCAGGTCTGTTCACATCAGACATAGATCATAGCCCCATAAAGCATTACAATGGAACATTTTGATGGAGCCCAGATGGCATTCTCCAAAAGGTTAAGGACGAGACACACACCACTGTAATTCCTCTCACTTAAAATCCAGCACCAGGCCAGCGGTGAATTTGTTGTGATGTTTGTAGAGTATTTGCCAGCAGGGCTTTGTGAAGAGGCAGCTCTTCATCTTGCAGAAGCTGGCTCCAGCCAAGGCCTGCCCAGCCATGGTTATCCCCATCACACCACACACCTCCAGGTCCAAGGGCTGGGTTACAACTACGTCCCTCCTCATTGGCACAGCTCGCACCTGCCCTTGAATCACCCTGCACGCCAAGGCCAGTCTCGCCGATGCCCAGCCAAGAGATAACACTTGTTGGGTTACAGGTTACACGTTACAGGGAGAGCAGATAGATCCTCACAGCACTCCAGATCTCTTGGACTCTCTAGACAGTTGTACTCTGTGTCACACTAACATTTCTCTCTCCCCTCACCCCACTAGATCCCAGAGGTGAAGACCAGGTTCTCCCCCAACCCTTCTGCTGTTTTCCAAGCGCCATCGCGGATCCTCAACATTTGAACCCGGACCCTTCTCGCACCCAGGCAGCTTAAACGCAGCGTTTCTGTTAAGATGTATCACTATGCAATTTTCACGAGTGTTAAGATCAAAGAACCGGTGTTATCAACAGCAGCTCCAGTGATTAATGATATGCACACAGACTTTCTGTTAACACAACAAACCGCAAAGCGCTTGGTTTAGAACTGGCAAAACACCCTGTGAGGAGTGACCTAGTTTTTCACAGGAGCAGGTTCATTACTATGCCAGCTGGCGTCACATTAGGAGATTGACTTTAGGCAGCAAAGGTAGGATTGCAGGCAATGTCCCTACGCATAGCTACACAGGGTAGGAGGGAAAACAATCACAACGGGACAGATAATTAAAACCCAAACCAGTTTTATTTAGCAACACCCTCTAAGTGGGCCAGAGAAAGACCAGGGAGTAGTCTGGCCCTTTCTTGAGGGGTTTTGGAAGTAGGACCTCAAATGGCATCACCAGAAAGCACAGCTTCACAGGGGCTGGTCTGAACTTCCAGGGTTGTTTTAGAAGCTGGAGGAAGCAAATGTCATTAAACTCTAAAATAAATCTGGCACAGGCAGTGTTTTGGGGCTTTCCAGCTGGAAGGCTGGATATTTCCAAAACTGAAGGGCTGATGCAGGAGCAAGAGGGGGCTGAACTCCAAGAGACAGCCCTGATAGCAGGCTGGTTTGTAGAGAAGTACATGGATACAGCCATGCACCCACCAGGCTCCTCCAGAGGATCTAAGATACTTATGTAATTTGTACAGCTGTTCGGGTGAGTGTAAATATTGTACATGGATTTTACCTAAAGCAATTTGTGATCCTTTAATGAAAAGGACATGCTTACAATTTTAATAAATGTTAACTCTTTGCATATGCAAGGTGGAAAATATTGCCTTGAAATTCCTAAATTATTGCCTGTATATTGGTAATGCTAATGCTAGGAACAACCACAAGCGAATGTTACTTAGAAACTCTTCTTAAAGAAAAATGTAATGTAGAATGTAAGCCATCTGCCATTTCTGAGATAGGCCATTTCAAGTGTCATTGTTCTGAAGCTGATTTTTTTAGACTGCTGCGCATTTAACTTTTGCTGAGGTACACGTGTTTTAAGAAACCATTTTTTTAGCCTTTGTTCATCAAGACTTTACAATTTCTATTAATAAGTTATGCAATATAATTAGTCTATTGCTTATTTAATGGTTTTACTAATTATTTTGGGAAAAAAATTTGAAAAACTTTATGTGTTTGTAACACGTGTGTTGTCTAGAACGAAGGGAAACTATCCTCAGACTTGAACAGGGATCAGATATTCATTCACATGTAATGAAACAGACTTTAACACAGGAGCATTTTTTCTTAAACTTCCTTCTAGCTGAAGCCTAAGGCAAATTTAATGAACTTGGGGATTCTGCAAACACGTATGCATTGCTGATAACTCCCATAAGAACAATTCTTGAACTGTTGGCATGTGGATTGTACTTGGAATACATGCAGACAGCACTGCATTGTGTGAGAATTTAATGGTGCCATCTCTGTTCGCTGTAGCAGGACTGAACACAACCACCAGAATATGGAACACCTGCAGTAAGCTGTGTTTGGGGGGGGAACAAACACAGGATGGCACTTCCCACACTCATCCTTGGACCCATAGGAACCTACAGTAATCCCAGTGCTTGCCAAAATAATATTTCAGATTAATTTTTCAGGATATTAATTTGAAACATTCAAACTGTACTAAAAGTTTTGCATGTTAGATGTTTCTAAGAATTTGATCTGCTTGTTTAATCTCTTTATAATGTTTTTAACAGTTTTGTTCAAATAATTTAAGTTCATTTCAATCCTGGACTTTATTAACAGCAAGAAAAAAAAAAAAAGAAAAAAAAAAGGAGAAATTGTCTATTCTCTCTTCTTAATTCACTGTATTTCTTAAAACAAAAACAACCCAGGTTTAAACAAACTGGTAATATAATAAGCTTGTATTTTATCAAATGGACTGGATTTAATTTAATAAATTAAAATGTATTTTGTCTATTGGTTCTTTCCCAAATTTTTTTGTTGTAAAGCATAACCCTCAGATGAGTCAACTTTGCAGGACAATTTATCACTGCACGTCTGTGTTGCACACCTGCACGAGCAGGACAGCAGAGCACAGCAGACACCAAGCAAGGTGTTGGGGCGAAGCATTCAGAGCCATCAGCAGTCAATTCCTTACTCCTGGAGCTTGCCTGCAGGCACAGCCCCCAGCAAGAACAGCTTCTAAGGCACACTTCAAGCTGCAGCCACTGCTGATCCGAAAGCACAGCTGCTTTCCAAAGGAAGCTGTTGCTCTGCAGAATCCCTAGTTGCTTATGGGACTTTTCCCAGACCTTTTCAAAGGGAAAGCAAACTGTTCAGCAAGCAGTCCATCACCGTGAAGGGGAAAAGGGGATGAACCAATGACACTAATTTGCTACATTCCCTATGAAATGCACAGAGGGTAGATCAACTCTGATGCAGGTGCCACGCTCTCAGGATCCCTTTCAGATGTGCCCACAGTGTTCCCTGTTTACAGTTTCACCTCAGTTTCACTCTGCCATCCCACAGAGACCATAGGAATTGAATTTTAACAGATACCATCGCTTTACAATTACTCCCAATAACATTTCTGTCAGTAAAGATGCTGAAAGTACAACTACCTTCCCCAGGCAATGGAAGGCCAGTTTTTCTAGCTATGCCTCAGAAGACTTCCAGGAGAAAGCCAAAAGCTCACGAGCTGCTGCCTGGCTCCAACTACATGAGGGGTAAACTGAGGAGGTACTTACCACTGTAAGGTCCAGGGTGATGCCACTGGCTGCCAATGTCTGCAGCTCACCTGATTTTGTATGAAAAATGCCCACCTCAGCCAAATTGAAAGATATCAAACTAAGTTCCTCTGAAGAAGGCAAATCCACACACGTTTTGCAGGCTCCAGGGAGTCACTATGCCAGGACTGCTTCCAACGCTGTTCTTACGCTAGTATTTGTCTTCCCAATTGCTTTGGGCCCATGTCCAAGTCCCTCAAGGCTTTCCAACTGTGAATCACACTGCAAACAAGGGTTATTTGACACATAAAGAAATGTCCTTTAAAAGGAAAGTTTTACACCTGAAGCTTTATAATTTACTACCTCTAGGGTGTCACTGAGCCTACTTGTTTCATTTATTCCTCCTGACACCTTGCCTGTTGGGGTGCTGAGGGTGAGTTTTATGCCAGGCAGCTGTGAATATCTGCACTGCCACATGCTCAGGTCTGTGCAATACTCCACTGTTCGGAACGGTTCTCATTGAAAAGTTCACAAGCAGCACGCTACTGTTTTGCCAGCTTACATAAACAGCACATTTCTCTCTGCATTGCTCTAATTTCTTTGAGGGTGAACAATGATGTGCAAACCCATGACCTCTGTCTTACTCATACCGATTTCCTCTATCCTGGCCACTGCAGTAATGTACGATCCTAAGGATCTACATGGTTTGCCACAGACAGATTGCTAGTGCCATGCATCCCAGAGAGGCTGTGTTTGTTTCCAGAGCAGAGATGGCACAGGTGTGGAAGATCCCTTGTTTCTGGTGGGACAGGCTTTGATGTCACCTAGACCACCTTGAGACCCAGACGCACCACGTGTGCCTGTGCCAGTTCTGTGTGCAGACAGCTTAATTCCTGAAGTAATGATCCCGCACGTCTGGGCACGCTGCACCTGCCCCCACATCCCAGGATGTGCTCACCTGTGCGAGGGCAGGGAGGGAGGCACTGGGGGGCAGTGCCAAGGGCTCTGCCCACAGGGCACAGCCAGCCTTCCTCAGCCCCCTGGGCTAGTTCAGGAGGCACTTCTGTGGGATTGAGCACAAAGAAGGAGTTTTGCAGCATTTTCAAAAGACAACAGTGCATTAGTCTGCTCACAAGCACCCACCACTCCTCCCCACAGCCGGGGGAGAACACAGGAGTTTGTTTTCCTTACTTTTTCCTGTTCCTGTCCGTGTCACGTGTTGGTGCCCAGCACTGGCAGCAGGTGGAGGGGAGTCTCCGTGAGAGGAGAGGGGTCTCTGAGAGGGGAGGGCAGAGCTGTGGGGGGGTGTCTGTGAGAGGAGGGTAGAGCTGTGGGGGGGTGTCTGTGAGGGAAGGGCAGAGTCTGTGGGGGGTGTCTGTGAGAGGAAGGAAGAGCTTGTGGGGTGTCTGTGAGGGGAGGGCAGAGTTGTGGGGGGTGTCTGTGAGAGGAGGGCAGAGCTTGTGGGAGGTGGTCTGAGAGGGGAGGGCAAGTTTGTGAGGGGTCTCTGAGAGGGAGGCAGAGCTGTGGGGGGGGTGTCCCGGTTGAGGGGAGGGCAGAGCGTGGGGGGGTGTTCTGTGAGGGGAGGGGCAAGTTGTGGGGGGTGTCTGTGAGAGGAGGGCAGAGCTGTGGGGTCTCTGTGAGGGGAGGGCAGAGTTGTGGGAAGGTGTCTGAGAGGGGAGGGCAGAGTTGTGGGGGGTGTCTGTGAGGGGAGGGCAGAGCTGTGGGGGGTCTGTGAGAGGAGGGCAGAGCTGTGTGGGTGTCTGAGAGGAGGGCAGAGCTGTGGGGTCTCTGTGAGAGGAGGGCAGAGTTGTGTGGGGTGTCTGTGAGAGGAGGGCAGAGTTGTGGGGGGTCTGTGAGGGGAGGGCAGAGCTGTGGGGGGTCTGTGAGGGGAGGGCAGAGCTATGGGGTCTCTGTGAGGGGAGGGCAGAGCTGTGGGGGGTCTCTGTGAGGGGAGGGGGCTGCCCTGTGCCGGACACAGCCGGGTCCCGGGCAGCCGAGGGAGCCGAACCCCTGAGGAGCCGGCTGCGCCCAGTGCCTGAGGGACGGAGGAGGCAGCAGTCGGGAGTGAAGGACTGAAGAAGTCAATCTGAGGAAAAATGAGTTGGGGGGGGACACAGGATGCTTTTTTCAGTTGTTTTTTCTTGTCTTTGCTTCTCACCATCCAGCTCTCTTTGGCAATCCATTCAACTAATTTTTAAAGTCGAGTCTGTTTTGCCTACGGCAGTAACTGGTACGTGATGTCCCTGGTTTTACCTACAGAGACTGCCTTGATCTGAGCAGAACAGTGGTGGAGTCCCCATCGGTGGAGGGATTTACCAGATGTGCAGGTGTGGCACTTGGGCACACGGTTTTGTGGTGAACGTGGCAGTGCTGGGTTTACTGTAGGACCCGATGGTCTTAGCGGTGTTGTTCAAACTAAATGATTCTCTGGTAAATTATCCTGACCCACAAGCTTCTTCATCTGCTGCAGGGGAGTGAGAGTGGCTGGGTGGGCGTCTGGCAGCTGGACAACCTCAACCCACCTTGCTTTTCAATCTTCCACATAAACCAATTACTTGCTGTTTAAACAGGCTGCTCTGGAGGATGAAAGATTGGAGCTCAGCTCCTGGCTTCCCTTCCCCCAGCCTCCTAAACCAGGAGCTTTTTAAAATAACTAGGAAAGGGAAAAATTACCTTTTCCTTCAGATCAGTTCCACAACTAGCAATTTTTATCCAGAACTAACTAGGACATTCTGAATACACAGAGCACAAAAGTATCTGCGAATTTGGAGAAACGCTGAGTGACAGGTGACAGTCAAGACAAATTAGAATTGTGCTAGGGCACAGCTAATAAAAGAATTTATTGTAAACATACGTACGTATCTTACACAATTATACAGTATAATACAGATAACATGAAGGATTTAAACACTCAGCATTACAAACATGGGTAATATTTGTAAAGGGATCTTTAACTTGTATCCAGACTCTTTCAAAAGCCAGAGAAATACACCATAACATTTCAACACACCATATCACATGTAGCATTCCACAAACACCTGAACAGGTGTGTGAAATTCCACAATCTCTACCTCATCTCCAAGCAATTCCCACAGGAACTTCTCACCAACAAATTTTTCTCCCACCACTATTCAAAATGCAAAGAACTTGTTGCAAACGTTTCCTACATGTGAAGGACTAAACAAATTTGTCATTTCCTATCTGCTTTTAACAATTTATTTTTCTTCAGCAAACTTTATATACTATTCATATGCATCTCCTAAGAGAATAACCTGTGGTTGCTCAGAAATGTAGCAATAGATCTCCTGTGCAAGAACCCCATTAAGAATGAGGAGTCATTACCTGCCTGCTTCAGAGCCAGGTGCAGGACTCATTCTGAAATTCCATTCCTCACAGACAAGCAGGACACAGGCAAAGAAGCCACAATTTGCAAACAGATGCCCAAAGACAAGCTCCTGCATCCTCAAAAGTTGCTCTGGGCATATCACAATCCCAGAAACTAAGCCCAGAAGAGACAGGGGCTGGAAATGTGTGTGTCACAGAATCATAGAATATGCTGAGTTGGAAGGGACCCATCAGGATCATCAAGTCCAACTCCCAGCCCTGTGCAGGACACCCCAAGAGTCACACCATGTGCCTGACAGCGCTGTTCAAACTGCTTCTTGAACTCAGGCAGGCTTGGTGCTGCGACCACTTCCCTGGGGAGTCTGTTCAGTGCCCAACCACCAGGTGAAGAACCTTTTCCTGAGATCCAACTTAATCTTACCCCAACTCAGCTTCGTGCCATTTCCTTGAGTTCTGTCACTGGTCACAAGAAACATCAATACCTGCCCCTTTGCTTCCCCTCATGAGGATGTTGTAACTGCAATGAGGTTTCCCCTCAGTCTCCTTCAGCCTGAACAAACCAAGTGCCCTCAGCTGCTCCTCATAAGGCTTCTCCTCCAGACCCTTCACCATTCTCGTGGCTTCCCTTGGACGCTCTCTCATAGCTTAATGCCTTTTTTATATTGTGCTGCCCAAAACTGCATACCCTACTCAAGGTCATTGCAGATCATAGCACAACTGAGTTTGCCCAAAAGGCTGTTCCCACACAAGCTGCAGGCTGTCCTGACAGTGACAGATCTTGAAAATGCCCTTCTCTTTTCTTTTGATGCACTAAAAGAAGCACACAGGGATGCCTGTAAGTACAGGCTTGGAAATCACTACAGCCTACAAAGCATGGGGCCTGCAGTTCCCCAGCTACTGGGATTCCTCTCTACTCCACACTGAGCTGAAACATAATCACCACTGCTTGACTCCGTCACACTGACCTCTGCTGATAAACTAATGTCAGGGCTAAGCTGTGCCCTTTCCTTTCGCAGGCAATCCTGCACTCAGCTCACCCGAACAAGCCAGGATTAGCTTTTGAATCCAGAGCATCTGTAACGTCCTTCCCGGGGGCATTTAAGTCCTTCTCCGAATGCTGTTTGGATTTCATCCATTGGTCCCATTTCCTGGATTCAAGGGTCAGGTTTTGCCACTCTTACATTGAAGAGAACTACAGCTCCCTGTTAGCTGTGATGAACTGAGAGGGGCTTTCCTGCAGACCCTAGTTTTATTTAAGGAGAAGACAGGCAGGACCCCTTCTGAGGTACACAGTGCTTTCTTCAGTTTAACAACTGCATTAAACCTGGGCTACTCTCCTTCAAAGCCTGAAGCCACCCTGAAGCCACGCTTTAACTGAACCATTTTTCACAGTTCGTGCACACTACTGGAGCTACCATCATCTGTCTTCTACCCAAAAAAAGCACCAAAAGATAACATTTTGAAGATTTCTGTTCCTACCCCAGGCCAGGAAAGATAACTGTAGCTTAATGTTTATAAAAGGCTTTGTATTGTCAAAGCACGGCACCAACAAGAGCGAGGCCTCAGTACACCCCTATGAGGTAGGTATCCTGCTCCCCATGATCAGAGATGGGGAAACTGAGGCACAGAGTGATTAAATCAAAGGCCATGCAGCAGATCAGAGACCCAGCTGAGATCAGCACATTGGAGGTTCTGGCTGTTTGACCCATGCTCCACCCACACAACAGCACTGCCACACAAAACAAGCACGCTGAAAGCATGACAGTCCCACAGGAGTCCCACCAGCTTCACAATGGCTTATTCACACTACCAGCAAGCCCCCATGAGGCAAGACAAAGGGGTGGTGGATGTGAAGTGGTCAGGATGTTGTCAGCGAAGCCTTCTCCAGCGAGGTGTTGATAGCCAGGCTGCAGACATGTCTCCCTCACCAGTGATGTTCCTGAGACAGGTAAGTGCTGGGGTTAGTAGCAGAATTTCTTCCTGCAGTCAAGACATCAGAGGATCTCCCCACAAGCAGCAAATCTCTGACTTTTTCATCCTATCAGGCTTGTAGAACAGAACTTAATCCAAAGTAGTGCTGCTCCCACAGCACTTCGGTCTAAGCTGATCATTAATGAACACTGCCAAAACATTAAGACTTGTACAACACAGCTGGTCACCTGCCCTCCAGCACACTCCAAACCTTCTGACAGCCTGGGGAGGCACTTGCTGGGCAAGCAAAGTGTTTCAGCCAGTCCAAGCCCACAAACACTGAATGCTGTCCTTGCTCCTTCCCCTCCCATGCAGGACAAGTGGTCAGTCAAATCTTCTCAGGCCTGACCGTGGTTTGCTCATCTTGACTGAGAATGTGCCAGTCTACCCTTTCTGAGGTGACTAAGAAAAGCAGCATCTGACACATCCTCTAGAGTGGTAAGGAATTTGGTGAGGTGACACTTAGCTGAGAAAGCTACTGATCAGCCTACCCAGCTGTGTTTCTCAGTCACACACATCATGCTCGGGCAGGACTGGCAGAATTTTTGCAGCGATCAGCTTTCTGCTCCCTGACATCCAAACCTACCCCCATCCATCTACTCAAATGACCCACCTTTAAAAGCTGCCTTAGACTTTTCTCACACTCAGAATGCCAAAGCAAGTGCCCTGCCCACTGCATGGAGAAACCAACTCACATGTAGACTGCATCAAAAAGCATAATTTTTATCTTAAAACCCAGTTCAATCTCATCAATAGAACTGTCTCAGAGGAACCAGGCCTGTGGAGCCTCTCACAGCTAGCAACTTGATGCAAACTGACAATGTTTGTTCAGCCACTGAACACACACTTACCAAGTAAACACTGACATTTAACAACTTGATTTGGAACAGAGCATCATTTTGTTGCATTAAGGTGCATCTTTAATTGGAGGTAACAATCTAGTAGCCCAACGTTATAAATGTATATAAGTGTTCTACAGAAATACTGGATTTGTCAACCCAACTTCAGTCATAAATCCACCTTTCCTGTAGCATCTTCTCTGCTCTATTTCATTGTTCCTCATTTAGTATCTTCATATGTTTGTTTGTGAGGAAGTCAAGAAAGGGAATATTACAGATGGCTTTGTGAATATTCATCACTGTGATCTCTCTTGGAGTCCTGCAGGGAATGCATCAGAGATGCTATTATAATACATAAAAAAGCACGTGTCCATAAAGCAGCAAGCCAATAAATTTACCAATGTGGGGGGAGGGGGGAATAAAAATATCAATCAAAAAAATTATATGAGAGCAGGTGTTAGAGCAACACAGGAAAAGCATTAAAATGTCACAGCACAAAAAAAGCCACTCTCAAGACTGAGGGAAACCTCTTGGGTACCGAGACAGGAATATCAAGTGCTGAAATATTAATTCTTGACCTTCTATAGCACAGAAATTGTGTATGTATTTCTACATATAACACATACGTTTTATGTATATTGTATAAACATTTACACATTGCATACAAGTGAATATTTATGCTAACATTTTCTCATACTGTTATTTTTTAATCAATTTCAAGCTATCCCAAATCATTCTGCTGAACAGAAATCAAAATGTGGCCTAATCATAAGATATTAGAAAAGATTCTTTACTGTGAGGGTGGTGAGACAATGGAACAGGTTGCCCAGAGAAAGTTGTGGATTCCCCATCCCTGGAAGTGTTCAAGGCCAGGTTGGATGGGGTTCTGAGCAACTCGGTCTAGTGGGAGGTGTTCCTACCCATGGCAGGAGTTAGAACGAAATGGTCTTTAAAGTCCCTTCCAACCCAAACCATTCTATGATTCTATAAAAATCACTCAATATCTGAGCCAGAGAAGTGTATATCAGCAAAATACAGAGATTATTTAGGTTGTTTAAGTTCTGGCAGGCCATGGCTAAGTTGTCTACACAGTAGCCTGAGATGGACAAGAGTTAGCAGGTCCTTCCAACATGGCTCTGTAGAAACAGGTCATCTGCCTTTGGGTGTGGCAACGCCAGAGAATCCTGCCCCAGTCTTTGATGTTGTTTATGTTTCCATCCTTTGCCACTATGGAGCCAGGAGATGACGAACCCCCTTATAAGGCTTGGATCTTCCCAGAATATAGTCCACAAATTCCCTCACTCTCATGGTCTGAGCCCCGCACTGACTAAATGTCTCAAGCCATTCAAGCCCTCAGTGCTGGTGTGAGTGGTCCCAGAGAACCAAGTTGCTGTACCTGTTGTGAGGAGCCGTCTGATACGCCACAGCCAGCGCCTGCCGCAGGATATCACTCATGAGCTGCTCAGTGGCCTGCGAGAGGAGACAACATTAGGAGACAGCATTACAGAGTCAGGAAACTTGCTATTTGCTCGAGTATCAGTGTCAGAGCAGCAGAAATTTTAGCTTACTTCAAACCTCAATCAATCAGCAGAGGGCAGCTCAAAATGCCCAAGTGAGTTTTATTACTTAAGATGTGTATATTTAACAAAAAGAAAGAGACCAACAGACACCCAGGGCTTAGACTGTAACTGCCCAGCCTGGTTTCCCTCTGGACCTGCAGAGTAGTAAGTGCACAGCAGGGTGGATCCAATGTTCCAGAGCCTGTGTTTCAAAGAGCATTTCAGGGCCCTTCCTCTCACACACCAGAGCTGGTTTTGTACATGGCAGATTGTAGATATTCTCCTGGGAACTGATACATGCTTGCCAACTACTCCTCGTGGTCAAGACACTGCCTCAGAAACCTTCTAGTCTGGGCAGCAAGAAGCCAGCAGGTGTATGCCCAACACTTGGCTTAACCAAGGTTCAGTCAAAAGTAATTAAGGCTCTCGTCTTTCTGTGCTGTGTCAAGACCAGAGCAGAGATTTCTGGGATATTCAGTCAGGAAAACTGGCATAACTCTACGATTGTAATGGAGCAACCTGATGGTTACAATCTGTGTCTACAAATGGATGTATCTCTATCAGAATTTAACTATGCTAAGTAACAGGGAGCACAGCACAGGCATGCACAGGAGTGCATGTGCCACCTGGAACCAATTAGCTTTTTAAAAACTCACCTTCTAATAAGCAGCAATCTGTAAAAAGAACCCCCAAAATCATCTTTGGCATGAAATACAGCAGAGTGCTGCTAGAAATAATCTGTGTTAGCCTTCAGTCCAAACCCAAGAACTCCAGCTCCATGCTGTTCCAAGCTGGTACAAAACCATTTCTCTGTTCTTCCAAAAGCAATTACGATAGAGGAATGGTTTCTCACACAAGGCAGAATTGTTACTGTCTGCAGGAATTCAGCAGTTTCCCAGCAGAGACAACACAAGCAAAGCACCCGAAAGGTATTTAGGGAAAAATAGCTAACTTTGTATAAAATAATCAAATCTTACACAATTCTGGCAGATTCACACCCAGTTATGAAGGGAAGGACAAAGTAAGAGGTATTTTCAAAATTACAGAATGAGTCAGTATCTTAGTGGCAGTGAGAAACTGCAAATCACAGTTCCGTGTCGAAGTCAACAAATCAGCTAGAAAGCTGGAAACACTCACAAAAGTGTATGACTCTTTGGGCAGATTTATACCTGCCCATATGTGTAGAAAGACAGACATCAGACCCTGATCTCCTAATTTGATAAACGCATATAAATAAAGATATTCAATTTTTTTCCTAATTCCTGAGTTAATACAATTACATTTAAATCCTTATTGTGAAATAATTTCTTACCTTTAAAATCATATCTTCTATTACTGATGCATAAACATTCTTTTGTACCTCAGCAGGTTGAAAAGAAATCCCTATCTATAAAATATGAGAGGAAAAAAAAATTAGTACATCAAACAACAAAACTCACGCTGTACTACAGATTTGATGAGATTAACAGGGAAAAAAATATTACAAAGGGTAGTTAAAAAAGAAGCAGACACTGCAGAACTTCCAAGCAATATAATCATAGAATCATAGAATCGATTGGGTTGGAAAAGACCTCCGAGATCATCGAGTCCAACCCTTGGTCCAAATCCAGTCCATTTACTAGATCATGGCACTCAGTGCCACGTCCAATCTGCGTTTAAAAATCTCCAGGGATGGTGAATCCACCACCCCTCCGGGCAGCCCATTCCAATGCCTGATTACTCTCTCTGTAAAGAATTTTCTCCTGATATCCAACTTAAATTTCCCCTGGCGGAGCTTAAGCCCGTGCCCCCTTGTCCTATTGCTGAGTGCCCGAGAGAAGAGACCAACCCCCACCTGGCTGGAACTTCCCTTCAGGTAGTTATAGACGGCGATGAGGTCACCTCTGAGCCTCCTCTTCTCCAGGCTAAACAACCCCAGCTCCCTCAGCCTCTCCCCATAGGACTTGTGCTCCAGTCCCTTCACCAGCCTCGTTGCTCTTCTCTGGACCCGCTCCAGCACCTCAATATCCTTTCTGAACTGAGGGGCCCAGAGCTGAACACAATACTCAAGGTGTGGCCTCACCAACGCAGAGTACAGGGGAAGGATCACTTCCCTGCTCCTGCTGGCCATGCTATTTTTGATACAGGACAAGATCCCATTGGCCTTCTTGGCCACCTGGGCACACTGTTGGCTTCATTTAAAAAAAAACTGGGGAAAATTAGTACAGCCTGCAGAAACGTCTCTAAAAGTCAGAAGAAACAAAAGCAGGTTTTAATGTTTGTTTCGGAAAGTTCACACAAAATCCAGGCTGCGTTGGGTATATTTGGATTGAGAACAGTAGCTCTATTTTAAAACTATACATATATTCAATCCATCTACTCATCATCTTCCCTGCACCCAACTATGGCAACTGAAAGCACTTTGAACAGTACTCCTGGCACAAAAGTTCCACATCAAAAGAGTGTTTCATCCCTCAGTCCCACTCTCATTGCGTCTGTGCCTTGGTCACCTATGTAGCAAGAGTCTGGATACACTGCAGAGCCAAAGCTTTGTCCCTTGATGTCAGCATGTGAGGTGGAGACAGAGATCCTTTCTTTCTCCCACAACTGCCGCTCCTGCTGCTCCGTCTCCGCTGGTACAATGGTGAGCACTCTTTCCTACAAGCCAAGCCAGTCTTCTCTCTCTCCTCCCTGCTGCGGTGACAGAACACCTCCCTCTCCCTTTCTTTTGCCCTGATTTGAATGGGAGGAAGCAATCCAAGCACTCAAGAAGTTTGCTGTGGCCTAATCTTTATCACAACCCCTTCTCAGGAGTTGCTATTAAACAGCACTGGTCCAAGAAACAAATCCAAATCTTTCACAGGAAAAATTCAGTGCTAGTGCTCCTCATTCCTCATTTATCCTTGCTTTTAGCCTTCCAAGATGATTTTTTTTCTGTACTACGCCTTGCAATACAGCCAGCTGGTACACTTCCCTTTCTCCTGCCAGCAGTGGCAGCTGAGTGTAATGAGTCAGAAGGTTCAATTTTTCCAGGGCATTTATAAAAACTTTCATTAAAAAATCCAGAGATGAAAAAAAGGCAACTAAATAAATGCAAGACCACAATTAGCTTAACAACAGTTCCAATTAGCTTTATGAGTCACTTATTACCTTCTCAGCAGCGTCCCTCACGAACTCTGATGCAGGCAAGGAAGCCATGTAGAACTTAATCTCTTCTTGTTTCTCCTCCTGTTCTTTCTTAATGTTTATTTTTAATGGCTCGCTAAAGTTGAGAATATCTACTTCCTCTTCGTGTTCTGGTTCTTGTTTCAGAAATTGCTGTAGTTCCTCTACTTTTCGGCACAGCTCCTCACCACTGCTGTAAGATGAAGGGCATTCTGAAAAAGAAGCAATCAATTAAACACATGATAGGTTATGAAAAGCTGTTTATAAACAGATGCACACTCAAAACATGATAAGAAATTAAGGTAATTGCAAGTTATTTTTGTAGTTCCTACCAAACACAAAGATGCACAGAAATGCAAACAGTCACTGAGAGCGTTCTAATTATATCTTTATGACACTTGTGGTCCTCTCTCCCTCATGTGCTCCTACACCAATCAAGAAGGCTGCATTTCAAACAAAACCAGGCTAATGTCAGTCTCCCAGACTTTCTCACAGAAGCTTTTTGGCAACTGGCAAACCAGTCTGATGCTCTTCAATTTGCTTGGAGAGGTGAAGTTTCTACTATGCAGGCATCATGTAACACTAAATCATCTTTCACATTCTGACAAGCATTATCATGATTTTTGAGAAAAAAAATCAGAAGACATTCACAGTGGAATGACAAAAGGGCAACCTCTTCTCTTCATGATCAACATGAGCCAGTAAAACCTTTAGTGGAAAACTATGCAATAAACTTCAAAGACAAAGAAAAATCTAGTGATTTAGCTAAAAATATTAAAAGGTAGATATTAGCCTTCCTTTCCACCTTCAACAACTGCAATGCAGGGCCAGATTTCGCAAAGTATAATCCATTCCATACACTTCTGTGAAATACCTAAAATCCCTGAATGATCAGAACAGAAAAACATTCAGCTTTGGGAGAGGGATTAGCTGAAGGTGAAACGAGAGAGCTTAACTGTGAAGAATGGATGAAATTAAAGATGTACGTTTAATACATACTAAAATGAACTGTGGAGTCCCAGAGCTATGTCTACTGGAATAACGTAGCAGCTGTAATACAAAGTGGGATGCTTCACATAAGCCAATTCACCTCACTTTTGGAGGTAAACTAACCCACACTGAGCTCCACACTGTCACTGCCAGGTTTGGGGTTTTTGTTTTGTAGCTGAACTCATTCATACTGTTTTCACAGTAAGTCTTAACAGAGGCTAAAGCTTGCCCAAGGGCAGAAATGTCATTACTCCCTATGCTTACTTTGTGTATCCATTTATAAAAGATTATATTTGTGGAGCAAGAATCATCTTTCATGAGACTTATCCACTCTGGGCCTCCACAGGACCCAAAGCACAATAAAACCCAAGAGGCCCCAGAAAAACATCAGGACTAATATGGGCAAGGGACAGCCTCACTTGTAGGCCTGCCCTTACAATCTCCAACTTTGGTCATTCCGGAGCGAACCGAGTTCAGAACAAAGCAGCAGCACAGGTGTGCACATACACACAATCTCAAGGCATTTAATAAACGGTGTCTTTGGCAGAAAGGAGCTTCCTGTCCCTCCCCACTCACCTGGCTCACTGTCTATCTGTGTCAGCACGTCTTCAATCGAGTCCTCGTCGTTCCGCAAGGTCTCAGGGTCCGGTGGAGTGTAGCCATGGCATCGACACCAGTGCACCACATGCTTTGTTTTCAGAGGGGTAATATTGTGAAACCTGGGATGCCTCTCTACAATTTCCTGTAGGATCTTTCTCACTGTCATTGCTCGCTGCCACTGTGACAAACCGAAGGGAAAGCTCATCACACTGGCTAAAACATTTAAGGTTAGCCTACAGCCCAGAACAATAATCCAGGTTGCAAGGAGAAAAAAGGAACATGAATTTTCTCAGAAGTCAGAATGACTTCTGACAGGTCATTTAAACTTTGCTTTATCATCCAAAGTAAGTCTCAAGAAAAGGGACATGCATTTACAGGGCCCTAGACAAATTTATCTTGACTTGAAATGTCTCATCTCCCAAGTAACACCTAAGGTGGCATAGTGCAAGAATCCACTAGAGCAAATATGCTTCTTAAAATCTGATTTAACTCTGCAATCATTGGCAACAGCAAAAGATCTAACCAATGTTAACATCTTCCCTGTAAAACCATACAAGATGATAAAGTTATAAAGAAATAGGGAGAAGCATAACCACAATACAAACAGGTCCAGGTTAACTGAAATATTTATCTTTGGTGAACTGACAATCTACTTCAGCACTAGCATTGTTTACAAATCCCTCAATTCTCTTCCTACAGAAAGCAGACACAATCCCATAAAAAGGCAGACAAAGTTTTATAAAATTCCCATGACTGTAATATGCCACAGAGGAGTGATGAGGATAAAGTGTTAACAGGACAATTGGCAAAAATTTTGAGTTTTAAAATGTTTCAAAACCATCTGATTTTGAATGACCCGAAAAATAACCTTCAGAATCCCTTCTGCTTGAGAAAGCCTCTGAACAATAAACAGGATCACTACCTGAACATAAGTCAGTGTCTCTTGCCATAAGGAATGCTGCCATTTAAAAGAACAGACTGATTCAGAAAACAAATCAGCCAACAAGAAGGCAGGTTCCATAATTCAGAAATCTTTCTTGTATTCCTAATGATTGCTTATGAAACACAAGAGAGGATTACCTCGGCTGCCCTCCTCTTCCCAATATTCCAGCTGTAATACTGTTCCACTGAACTGGCACAGAAAGAGCTTACATCCTCACCTAAAAAACATGAAGTCAAAAACTGAATAAGGTTTTAGTAAGCAAGATGGATTCTGGGTTTGATGTTATTTAGCAGAAAGGAAAGGGAAATGTGTATCATGCTCACAGGCTCAATGACTAACTAATTCTTACAAATACTGTGCTTTCTCCAAGAGGGACTGACACTGTGGTGTTTGGATGCAAAACCAGCATCTGTCTTGGTCATACACAGAAACACCTGTGGCTGTGGGCTGTTCTTCACTCAAAAACTGTATGACGTAGACCTGTAAGTCTGTCTTACTAATCAAAATCTCTTCCTTTGGAAAACTTTTTTTCCCCTCCAAACAAATTACAACGTAAAAATAAAACAAGAGTGAAAAGGTTTTCTGGGAAAAGCATGAGAGCTGTATGTAATGGAAGCTTTACTGTGCCTCCCACTCCTACTCTGCTGCCTGTGCTTGAGAGGGTCTGTCCTACCCAGCCTCTAGGACCATGTGTTCAAAATGCATTAGTTAGCAGAGAAAGCTGATACATTTTCAGCTAAGTACATGAGCAAGAGGTGTGAAATAATAAAGTACCATATACAAATAAAATGTTTCTCTCCAGATCACCACCTTTTGTTTAGAAAAAAACAAAACCCCCAATAACAAACACATTACAGTGTTGACCTATGTTATTGTACTTGTAAGCATTCTAAAATCCCGGCATTATATTTAAAAAATAAAAAAAAAAAAAAGGAAAAAAGAGAAGAAGAGAAAAGCACATCCATTAAGGACAAACCAGGGAAAGGAAGACCTACTTGCAGCCATTATATGAAGAAATACAACCTATTTGTAACCAAAAACCAGATGCAAGTTATTAACGGCTGATAACAACGTATTTGGCTTTACTGGAAGAACCTAATTCTAAGCATCTTTAGAACAACCCCTGGAGAGAGCTCTCTGGGAGGATGGCTTCATTTCATTCCACCTTTTAATAACTTCTGTGGCTACAGAGTATGCAAGGCATTCTGTTGATACACTGAAAATAAGAAGCAAAGTCTTTTCATTTACTGCTTACTTTTTTCAGCAATTAATGGGACCTTCTTCACTATTGCTGTTAAAAGCTGCTGGACGTTCTCCAAATATTCTATGCTGCAAGGGATAAAAAGAATCACAATGAAGACTGTTGGAAGCAATGAATCAGCTGCAAAATGTTTCAAAATCACTGCATGGTTTAAAGTCTTTAGCCCCAAGGCGTCACAAATAGCAGTATGAGGGTAAACTGTTATGCCCCAATCCAGGGAAGGTATTTCAAACAGCCCCTCCTCTTGCCAAAAAGTGTCCACATCTGAAGCTACATTTTCAAGCTGAAGAAACTGAAGATAGGCTTGGAAGAAATCCCTGCATCAAATGCAAGCTGCAACACTACTTTAAGGGATAAGATGCACCTACCAGTGCAGGCTGTCCCAGTAGGAACACAGGATACTTCATGGGACACTTCATACTTACAGGAGTTTACTTTACCAGACGTACTCTATTTAACTGTCAGGAGCTGTATTTTCCAACAGTTATTTTTTAACTAAGATAATTTCCAGTGTGTAGTGACTTAAGATTTATTCCTCTCTCCTACACATACTCTCCATCAGGGTAATGTCTGCAGGGATATGTTGGGATTACAAAACTTTTCAAAACACGGAGATAGGAAAGTCAGCCACTGGAGGAATCAAGAGCAGAAGAAACATCCTACACACTGCAGGAAATACGCAAAGAAAATTCTGCAGACTGAGTTCTGGCAAAAGAAACACTAATAAGCACTTGCAAGAGCATCACAAACAAGGCACCGGATTTCACAGCATCCAGTGAATAAATACTCATTATTATTTAATTCCAATTCTGAAGCAAGGCAGCCCTCATGCTAAGTAATTACAGAAGTACATGACCTTCACAAGACCAGAGAGACCAGAAGACAGACAGTTCTATTTATTTCAGATGCCCCTTTATTGACCTGCATGTCACTGGGCAGTTCAACCTTACTAAGGACACACAATAGCAATGGGAATTATCATCCAGAGGATGATAAAGAGGTTTTAGCAGCTTGTGATTCTAGCAAAGCCCAAAGCAACTGCAAATACTCAATTTTTCCCCTTTCGTGAGCCTTACATAGAAATCCATTTACAAAGAAAATATTGCAACACTGTCTGAAACAAATGCCACCCAACAGGATTAGCACTGTTACAGCAGTGTATGGGATAGAAGACTTTATGACGTATTTCTAAGTCAAAAGTAACACACTGTATGCATCCCTAGAACCATCTCCATTCCCCTGGTATTTCAAAGATCAGAAATCCTTATAGAGAAATGAACAATTACTTGATAACGTAATTCCCAAGTTCAGAGCTCTCTTCTGTTTTCACTGCTGCTTGGTTTTCTTGGGTACCCACAGAACTGCAGTTCTGTCCAGTTGAATCAGGCTCCATCTTAACTTCAAAGAAACAGAACACATTTGAAGACAAAAAGTACCAGCCAGCTTGATAAGCAGTGTCTTGTGAGACTCCAGGAAGACTAAGGGTCTTACATAACATCACTTTGTTGTTTGCATCCCGATTGCGAAGCATGAACAAATTTGACCTTCAATTCTCCTGAAAGAGAGCCACCATAACATGTTCCTCCCCCTCCCCCAAATCTCAACATGCTCACATCTCATCCTTTTAAGAAAATCTGCATAACCAATTGCTGCTGTTTTGCATATGACTGCCTGATCTAAACTGAACTGCTGCAAATGTACTTGGCCATTTTGTAAACAAAGAGCTGGATAGAAAGGTACTAAGTTTTAACCAGAAGTGACATCTCAAAGCAATAACTTTTTTGAAGACATCACTGATTCTGACATCTGAACTTTCTCACGTCTGGGACAGAACTCTGGTGAGACAGAAGCAGGGAGAGAGACGTGCCCAACCCAGAACATCCAGACAGTCTGGTCATGCTCCTGGGATGGAGAGACACAGGACAGTTCTGCATGAACTGGACTCCAAGTGTCTCAGCTCTGCCCCACGCTTTATTCTGGGAGGTACTGAAAGTACATCTTCCCCCTCTGTGCACACAGACACATGCTGTCTGTATCTAGTACTGCTGGAGAGCAACCTCCAGCACTGCCCACCACAGTCACTGCCTGAGGAACAGTCACTGTGACTGAACGCTTGCTGCTCTATGCAGTTCTGCAAATACGGATTGAAACTACAAGTGTTTAAGGTACTCATGGTAGCTTTCTAGGACATCCCCATTTCTCTCTGTACTTGTCTATGCTTTGGTATTTGTTGAGGGGGAAATCAATGTGATTTCCTAGTCCCCAGGTGCCATTTTAACTTGATTTAAACCCTATTAACAATGGAAATAAAGGAACCCACAGTCAGAGTCTACTTTCATAGTCAGGCCACTTGCATAAAGCAGCACCAGCTTCTACTACTTATCTTACTGAGAAATTCCTTGTTACCTTTAGTGATGGATACTGTAGAGGGACTAGGGGCAGTCATACTTGCTGCTGTAACAGCTGAAACTGCTGAAACTTTGCTGGTAGAAAGTGACTGTAAAACTGGAGATGAAAAGAAAAACAAGGGGGCAACAAAGAAGAAAAAAAAATCAAATTTCATACACTTTGACAAATAACCATGTTCAGAAGCAACACAATGTTTTTGCAGCACAAAGTTTAGGGATGAATTCCTTGCTACATTTTCTTCTATCTCTACTTCGGACCATGTGTTCCAACAGTGACCAAGTGCTCTTCTGTGTCAAAGGGGATTTTCAAACACCATCTGTCATCCTCCTCTGCCCTTTACCTTTGTTCATAGGCATGAGTATTGTCTGAACACCTCCAGAAGCTGTGTTTACACCGAGCTGTTTAAGCTGGCTGGGAACTGTCAGAACAGCCTGCTGTGGACTAGACTGATTTGAGTGGATTTTTAGCAACCCTGCAAGAAGAACGGAAGACAAAATGTTAAATAAAACACACCAGTTAGTTTATCTCCAGCTACTTCTCTCCCTTTCTGCTTGAGCCAGGATGGCACGTAAGCGAGCACTGCCATCCTCTTAACAAGCCACAGTTCTGTGAACTGTCAGGACAAGTTTTTACTGACACAAATGATGGCTGAAACACTGGAGTGCTGCACCAGTGTGCACAGTATTACATGCTGCACAGCACTCTGACAGTTGTAAAGCAAGTCTCCTAATTGCCTAAGGAATCTTAAGCAAAACTGATGTAACACAAACCTTTCCACTGAAGCAGGCTCAGCACAGAGTAAAACACTCTTGTCAGAACCAGACCTTGTGCTCAAGGGTCTGGTAAGCCAGTGAACTACAGCTCTGTTGTACTCACACAGCCACTCCCATGGAGGTGTCCCAGTGCTGCAGCATCCACTGCAGTCAGCAGGGCACAATCAACTGTGTTCCAACAAAGTGACAAGCCCAAGGCTGCTGTGCAGCAAGTCTCACGAAGGATGTACCTGAACTGAGTGTTCTGTGTCTTTCTCTAACATGCACTGAAGACATCCACAAGGATGGCTTATCAGGCTAGGAAGTACATTAAAGTGGGGACTGAACTAAATCCCTGATTTAAGTCAAGGCCAAAAGAACAAGTAGAACATCCAGGTATTAACAGCATTATCAATGGCAGCACTTTGTAACTGTTGGTGGAAATCAGCACAGCTCCAAGTGGTGCCACAGTTCCATGGGTGCCACAGTCCCAACACCTGTCAGCTCTCTCTCCTCCACAATGTGTCATCTCCTTGTGATGACATCCCAAGCCACTACAGTCAACATTAACTCTGTGATTTGGGCCTATGCCCATCCTTTTTAGTGGTAAACCAGCTATTTTCCATGTAATTGTATTCAATCTATAGCTAACTTTTCTTCAGATTGTGGAAGTTCATAGCTTTTTATTTTAAAACATCAACAATAATGGATTCCTTAGCTTCATGATGGCAATTTTATGCTCATGTTTCGTTTTGAGATAAAGTTCCTTTCTCTTTATTTTTTTTTATTATTGTTTAAGAAACATAGCTGCCTTCCAAGTACTAGATATGCAAGGTCTGGTGTAGATGTCTCCTGGTTTTAAAAGATGCCCAGCACTGGTAAGTTAGGCTTTCACCTCCAGGCAAGAAGACTCACCTGGTATTACCCATTCCTTTGTGTGTGACATACTGATGTGTCAGGTTAGACGGCAAGGGACCCAACAGCAAAGCCAGTGACAAGAGACCTTTTGAACTAACTATCGGCCTGATGGGTGAGAGACATTGCTTGTTGCAAAACAAGGGAATATTTGAGATTCTTTTCAAAAAGTTACCTTTAAAAACATCAACGTTCAGAATTTTAACACAGTTTTGTTTGGGGGTTTTGTTTGTTTGTTAATACATTGAAATAACGTGTTTTATAGCCACTGGTTCTTCTGCGATTCTTGAAGGAGTTTTTCACGATGAAGTCAGTGCCTCGGGTTACAAAAAAACCTAAACCAAACCCAAATCTAGACAGCATTCTCACACCTAAATGGGAATTTTAATCTGAAAGCTATTTATTAAGGTATATTTCCTACCAAAAAAAAGAAAAAAAGACACCCTTGCGGCTTTCTTTGCAAAGAGAAAAATACTCAACTGCTTCTTGCAGGACTGTGTCAGTCTTAGCAGTCTATGCTGTTTATTTTCAAGCTTTGCGTAAAACACAGTCATAAAGAAGGAGAACTTTGGAAGACTGAGTACAGATGAAACAAGAAGAGCTGCTTCAAAAAGACGCTGTCAGATGAACTCAGTGTCACTTATTTTCTCTTTTCTGTATTTTTACTCCACTTTCACTTTACAAAAAACCATTTCAAGTGAACAGAACATGCCAGCGGGTGAATTAATCTGAATGAAAATCTCCAATTTTAACCCATAACACTCAAACGTGCTGTATTTACTCTCCCTCACACAAAAGATACTGGAATACAATAAAACTGAATAAGGAGAACTGCCCTTCACATAAGGGCAAGTCCATCTTTATTACCTCAAAACATCCCAGATCCAGCCTACTTCACTGTACTTAATGGATTTTGACTTCAAAGCCTTCAGTTCCCTCTAATCAACGTCTCTCTCCTTTCCAAGCCAAACAGAGCAGATGTGAAGCCTCAGAGACAAATTCTGCTCATTGCAAGTTCTCTGAGTACAGTGGAGTTCCACTCTCACAAACTAATCAAGTCTGTAGTAGTGCTGGTACCTTGATAGTTTCCACATTCAGTGACACATTGTACTCCTGAACAGGCACAATGCATCGTCTAGTGGCAGTAAAACTAAAATCCCTCTCCAATACCAAAGGGCAACTTGTTCTATTATGTGTAATAGATACAGTCAGTGCCAAAAGGGTGTCAAATTAATTAGACATTTCATTGGCTAAGCCAAAAGTTATGCTCGTAAGATGTTTTAGAAAGCATGACTTTACTTTTACACAGTCGTAAATGCAGGTGACTATATTCTTCCACTTATAGTGAAGACATCTAAAGAACTCACACCTGGATCCTAACTTTCTCTAGGAAAAGAAGTTTAGTACCTGATACTGTAGCTTTTCCCGTCATAGGCGTTGCAGTAGTCATCAAGGAAGCAACACTTACAACAGTGGAAGTCGCAGTCTTATTCACTACTGATGAAGTAGACTGGCTCTGGCTTACACAGATTTGGTGTGGCTGTCCAGATGTCTTTGTTGCAGGAGTTCCAGGAGATGACGAACTGGAACCTGCATTATCTGTTTGCTGCATAACAGGCAAGGAGGGATAACAAATTCCTTTTCATGTCATAGATGATTCAACAATTAAACACAATGAGGTAATATCTAGAAGTGGCAAAACCAAGTATTCATCTACCATTCACTGAGAAGCAAGAAGTTCTCAAATTCATGTCCAAAAACCCACACACAATGATGGCACATACAGAATGGAGGCTGTGACAGCATGGTGTCAAATCTCCACTTGTTTAATCTTTGCCTCCCCACAGGTAATAGCAGTGGGGAAGCAAAGATTAGGGGCTAATGGAAAGAAGTAGGCTTGGGGAACCATCAGAGGGAATTACTTTGTTTTGTTGTCTCCTCCCCACCCCATGAACTGCAACTCCACTCCAGGTGGACAACCTGCATCAACTGGATACGTGGCTCCATCCACATACAGGAGCATTCACTCCAGGAATACCAATGTTTTGCTTCCCACCTCCCTCTATGCCAAACCACCTCCTTCCAAGGCTGCAGTGCCACATCTCCCCTGGGGTGGAGAGCAGTGACATCCTCTGAACACAGCCAGGACCAGGGAGCACAAACTCAGGCTGCTGCTGGCCTCTGAAACCTGTGACAGCACTGTGGAGGAGCTGTGATCTCAGGAGTATTTGTAGTCTGGTTACTACAAATAGGAGCAGACCCACCAGAAAGCTGACTGGGAAGGACACCAACAGTGGAAAAAAGCAGTCCAAGTCCTTTCCCGGGACTGTAGTGGCTGGAGTACAAACACTGCATTACAGAATACTGCAAGGTTGTTTCTCACCTGGGTGACACCATTTGTGGGAAGGGCCACGGCAGGAGCAGCAGTTGTGGTGATAACACCTCCTGATACTCTCAGCACGGTGGTGCCAGGTTTGGAGAGCTGGGATGAGGCAGGTATTGATTTTATAGACCCATCTGATATTTTCACCAGTGATGTCTGTCCACTGGATGAAGCCTTGGAGAAAGAATGCAAAGTAAGGAAAAAAGTCTATTTGTTCAGGTTTTAAATGACTTTAAAAACCAACCCAAAAGGTAAAAGCAACAAAACGAAAAAGACAAACGCTTTTTATACTACTAGCAAATATTTTCAAAATACTTTTGGAAAAATCAAATTCTGGCAATAATAGCTGGAACAAAATTATCACCTCAGAAATCAACTTTATCAAACTGTTGACTTTGCAAATATATGCCTATCAATCTTGAATTTTGGATAATCAATTATAGGTACTCTTGGGGAGTTTGAATTTCATAGGGACTACCTGGTAGTTTTTAGAAAAGATAGTTTTTTTTAAAAAGAGATACTAAACCCAAAGATTTTTAACAGCTTTAGCAGGTGACCCATTTGTAAGGTTCAAATATTTAGACATTTTTGCACCTGACACTGTTCAGTTTTCCAATTCTATTTCACTGAGAAATCCCAGAGCTCATTTACAAACTAAGCTTACACCGCTTGGAAGCTGACCTCCTCTGAGAAGAGAAAGCAAGCTGGAAATCTGTAGTATGATATGGTTTCCTCATCATAAGACAGCCAGCATCATAATTGTACAAAAAAAGCACATCAAACCAAGCAATTATGAAAGGAAAAGCTCTCAGTGTGTGGCCTGTGGTCCCTATACTTTATCTGACAAAACAGTAACTGGTAAGAAAGAACCACATCATTTGCACATTACCTGTGTAAACAGTGCTGTTTTCTGTCCAGTTATCACTTTTAGGGCTTGTCCTTGTGTGGAAGATGCTCCAACTCCTACACTGCCCTGAACAACTGATGCTGGAGTGAGCTGCTTCCCAGAACTCTGAGGCGAAGGCTGGCCAACCAGAAAGGTGCCCTGATCCAGAAAATAAGTTAGGGAGGTCAGCACTTTGAAACTCACTTAAGAGTCAACAGAAACACAGGATAAAAGCCTGTGGATATAATGCAACAACATTTCATCTTCTGAAGCAAAGTACTGCTAAATACAGTGGACGCTTCTGCACTACAAGCTGGACACAGCCTTCTTGCTACAGAACACTTTCTGATGGAAGCAGATGGGGAGAAGAGGTAAAAAGATCTAGGTACCGTAGTCCAAGAATGTTCTGTGCACTACAGAACCACAGGACATCCACCACTGCAGTCAATGTGCTTTAACTGAAATGCTTATGGCACTGACCTGGGGTGTCTGCTTCAGGATGTAGGATGTATAGGTGAGGTGCTGTGACAGGTTACTGCTTGTGCTTTGGGTTCCTCCTCCTCCTCCACTACTTGTAGAAGATCCGGACTGAAGACCTGTAACCAGAGGAAAAGGCTTGACCCTCTGGTAATCAGACAGTCAGCTGCTAAAGCATCCCTGTACACACAATACTTGAAAACACTTGGCAAGACATTTGGTGCCACATGTTTTGCAGCCAAGGAACATTACTACCCAGTACAGAACAGTTTAGATGTGCTGCTGTGCTCTCTTACAGCTCAGCAAACACTATGAACAAAAGGAGCTATGATGGGAGTAAGGAGGGCTGGTGGGCAAGCAAACTTTATCAAATGAAAACGCTGTCCAACAGATAACCAGTCTTTTCATCACTCTTTTGCAGGTTATGAATCTGCAGCAAAAGCCCTAAAAATATTTCGAATCCCACTGGTTTCTTAATTTTACTTTCATTGGCTGTTTCAGTGCAATTTTGTTAAGAGAATAATGGATACCAAGCAGTAATTTGCAGTGGCACTTTGATATTGCTCTGCCTCCAGAAGGAACAAGCTGAACAGTGACTTTTCTTCAGTCTCTCAGTAAGAAATAAGGGTAAAAAAATACTCATGGCTCTGTCACAAAAATCACAAGTATCTGATCTTCCACAATGCCTGTGAGATTTTCAAAGCTGGACTGACCCAGTTGCCTCTCTAAATCTCAACCAAAGAGGTTCTCACCACAAGCCCAAAAATACCTTCAGAAAGAGTATCTGCTTCTTCAGTGACATGTACTCTATTGCTGGGTTGCTGATATATATTACACTGAACAATACTTCAGGGAGGCCAAATCAGAGCTGGGAGCTCAAAAGTTTACACCCAATCCATCTCTCATCCCAAACCAAGTCTCAAGAATGGCATTGAGGAGAAGGTTCATGACCAATCTTTTCATCTACAGAGTCCAAAGCCTGAAACTTTCCTTCCCTACAGCAACAGCACATTATAAACAAAGCACTGCCCCTCAGAACTTATCTTAGTATGTTTTTCTCCAAATATTTCACAGAAAGTTTGATTCACAAGCCTATTAACAAAAGAAATGTTTCTGCATTGAGAGCACAGCATGAAAAGCAGTTTCATTGAAAACTAAAGCCACTTGTGAGATCTCAGCCTTAAAAAGCACCTCATAGGGGTTGTCGTGCACAAAGAAACCCCATCCCACTACTGACTTCCACAACACCAGGATGCTTCATAGCAAAAATGCCAAACATATTAATTATGCAGTGATTACATTATTTAACTCATTAAATTTTCCTGCAAGACTAACTAGCATTATTTGTGGCTCGCAGGATGGCTCCTTGGGGTATCAAAAGCAGTTTTCCTTTCCCAGAGGGATTCTTGCTGTTGGTGGTGAGATACAGCTTGGTGCCTGGTGGTAAGTTTGCCAAGTTGGCCAGGTTGGTGGCTGGTAACTGCAGCGTAGCCATCACTAGAAAGAAAGAATAAAAGAAATAAAACTGCTGCTTGCAGAAAGCAGGAAGCACTGAAATCTGCACAGGATGAAAGTACTCGGAGTGACATGCAGCTAGCCTTCAATAATCCCTACTTAGCTGGCCTAACCTCAGATTAACTCCACTACTGATGCACAGAGAGCTTTTTTAATAGGTCTGGGAAAAAATCTCTCTGCGTGCGGTGCCACTTATGGCTGCAGGCCAAAGCAGCACAGCCATGGGGTCTACAGGCTTCCTCCAGCCCCAGGCACCACACCTCTCTGACAGTTCAGAGCCCCAGCTGGCGTGCTCAGCTAGAGCCAGCTGTGTGCAGACACAGGCAAGGTGCTTCTGCCCGTACTCCTGTACCTGTAAGCACTGCGCTGGACGTGAAAATGCAATAGGGACAGTCTGGCTCTTGTTGGTTGGATTTATGGGGAGCCCTTTGAGCAGCTAAGGACCATAATGCCAGGCAAAAATGTTAAGATCTGGTTCCATGAAAGTCTACCAGGTCTCCAGCACATTCCCCAGCATATCTATCTGATCTCCACTCACAGAGCACTGCATGTTTTAAAGCACTTGTGCTCCCTCTTCCCTATTACAGATAATAAGTTAACATTTTCTTTAATCTCAGTCAGCCTGAACTTTCCTACAGAGCTCTCTACTCATTTTGAAGTTTTTCAACCACACACAGTTATGTTGCAGCTGAATAAATCATTACAGACCCTCAAAGCCTACCCATCATGAGCTATTAAAAGGAGTAAAATTACTCTACCTGAGCCTTGAGATGTACTTTTCTGAGCACCTGTGGAAGAAACCTGTGCCTTTGTTATAGTCTGCACAGGCTGAGCAACAATTGTCCCTCCACCTCCACTCACGATGGCTTTGGCTACACCTTGAGTCACAACCTGCTTCGAACCAACAGCCTTTGCTACTGAAGAGCCAGACTTTGCCACAAGGATCTGGCCACCACTTATAGCCACCGCTTGTTTCACCGTCGACTGTAATGCAGAACCAACCGGGACACCAACCACCTGCAACAAATAAGGGTTGGATGATGCGCTGCTGGCATGTCAATCCTGGTGCACGACCTCCGTCTCCAGATATTTCAGGACACTTCATACATGTCTGGTCAAGTACAGAAGCGCTTCATTCAGAAACAAAATTAAATCGGCAAGAGGCCAATCCCAAGTAAAACGATAAACTCTTATACTCAATCAGGATTTCAGAGCACCCACAAAAGATTAAGTTCATTCAAATTACAGGGCACTTCCTTTTTTTCTGATACATAAGGAATGGCTTAGTTCCAGCTGAAGATAAAGCTTGCCTTGGCGAATTACAGAGATGTAGAAGTTCAGTTTCAACATGTTCATGGGAACAGATTCCCTGGGAAAAGTAAGGCCTCAAAGAAGAATCCACAAAGTGCTTCAATTTTACCTGTTGACAGTAACTGCAGGGAAACATGAGTTTGCATACCTGCTCAAACAGGCAAATTAGGCAGTAAAAAGGACAATGAACTGTTGCAAATGCAAATGAGTATTTACTTATGCAAATGTGAAAGTTCTGTATGTAATCTTTCATTCTTGGTACATCATTTGACTCTATCCACAATGGAAGCAGGCAAGAATAGAGACAATTTCTGACACATCTGTCATCTTGTCACTGCAGTGAGCCTTCTCAGAAGCTGTGTCACTCCTGACATAGCAGGACCGCACTGGCACGACTCCTACAATAAAACACCTGAGTTGCCTCTCAAGTAGGGCCGATTTCACCTAATGCTAGTTCTGGCTCAGTCTCCACCTTGCTCCCTATTTGTCCTGTTCTCTTGTGTTGCAGGCCTGCATTCCTAGGAAAGAGAATTGACCTTCTCCTTCCAAAAAGACGGGATGAGTTTCAACAAGACCTGATGATGGTAGTCAGCTCTCTGGGTTAACAGTTCAAAAGCACCTCTGCCACACTGTTGCAGTGGGTTGGACAGAAGCGGGAGATGTCCCTGTACACAACAAAATGCAATAGTGCAGGCCCAGCCTGCTCCCTTCCCAAGAACTACATGGAAGTACAACACCAGCCACTCTGTGCACACAGGGAAACCAGTTAACCATGGTGCTGCCAAAAGAAGCAACCTGAACCCCCTGGGAGAAGCACCAAGTGTTGCAAAAAAACCACAAGACAGAGAGCTCACACCACTCCAGAGATGCCCAAGTGCCTCATACCTTAGACTGTACTGTCCCCTCGCCCGTGCTCACAACTGGCTTCTGTGGAGACAAGGCCAGCATGTGGCTGCCCTTGACTGTGACGTACTGTGGCACCGAGGGCTGCGCCGCGCCTGTCCCCGGGACCTGCGGCTGCTGTGGCAGCTCTCCTGGCTCCTGCTTTATTATCACCTGGTAAACAGGAAGAAATAGCAGTAAGAAAAGCAAACACCTTAAATCTGAGACAGCCTGTCGGCAAGGAAGGGCAGGCAACAGTCATGGTTCTCACCACCACGCGGACTCTAACTCAGGGCTGCTCCCAACACACAAGCGTGTGGGGTGGTGTCTGTACTTACAAAGCATCCCACATTTGAGACATGCTCATAGAAATCAGGGAATTGCTAGTAGTATTACAACTACTAGTCATACTGACAAGGGACTTGGCCAGATCTGACTTCTTCAGATCCTGCATCTTAGCATGAAACAACAACATATTAAAGTTTCAAATTTATAAGCAACTTCCTGTTCGGAGCATGTTCTGAACCTGAATTTTTTATTTCTATCCTGCAAAATTACAACTGATATAATAGCTACAGGTATTGTAAATCATTATAGCTGGCGTTATTCTCTTGTGTATGTGTTTTAGGTTTCTCTGGGATAGGCCCTACATCTAATCTCTAAGGGCAGCAACTGAAATAAGGATGTTTTGTGGGGGGAGGTTTGTGTTAGACCGCTGCAGGTACTGTAACTGGTAGGAAACATTCTTCCACCTTTTACTTGGATCACCTAATATTGCCAGAAACAAGTTTAAATTCTAGAGAGTAGCATTTAAGGAAACATAATCAGAAGTGGCAATGTCTGAGATTTAGAAATCACTGTACCATTTTTTAAGAAGCTTCTGACAGATCTACTAAAGTTTAGAAAAGGCAACGCAGAAAGAACCGTGTCTTGCAGAATACACCATCTAAAGAGTCTTTCTGCTGTGCCTTTTGCAATCGGACATGTCTGTCACGTATTGGCCTCATAAGCCACCAGCGTGCCTGCAGCAAATGTGGATAGAGCCTTCCCAAATCTTCGTTCGCGAAGCCCGGGCGTGATAGATCCTACCAAAATAGCTTTTAAAATATCAGCCTCAATACAACAGCAATTCAAAGGAAAAACAGACAAGACGAAAGAGGCAATAAAAGGAAAGATCACAGGTACAGCAGAGTTACAGGGAAAGAAAAGAATACAAGACACATTTCTGAAAGGTGCTAGAGAGCCCTTGTCAGCAAGACACATTGGTTCCAGTAAGTTCTACAGGCACTGGAGTTACATGATCAGTGGCACAAGTCAGGCATGAAATGACACTATTGGGCTCCTTGTCCCACCACAAAAGCCAGGAGAAATACCTTTGTAAAAGCTCCAAGTCCTCCAGTGACCGATTTGGGGCTTTGCACCTTGGAATGACTCCCAATGGGACAAAGGGGGGGCATCGTGGCAAAAAGAGAATCCTCCTGCTGTGAATAGGAAGACATGGTGCAAAAATCAGTGGAATACAAGAAATAAAACAACTGACTGTTAATAAAGGGCAGCACGGACCATAGAGGTAGGCCAAATTACCTGTGCAAATCAGATATTTCCAAAATCAGTCAACACTTAAGTAAAAGGAGTCTAATTTACTTAACACAACCTACAAAGCAAATTTTATTTGGAAAGTTACATCTCCAACAGCAGTAACTGTTTCTTACCATATCACACACAGGCAAAAGGAATATACTTGTTTTCAGATCAGCTTTTAATATGTTTTATGTAAAATTAAAGTAGGCTTAAGGGGGATCTTTACAATGCATATAAATACCAGATGAGAAGGTATAACGAAGGTCAAGCCAATCAACACTCAGTGGTATCCTGTGAAAGGACTGAGTCAATGGGCACAAACTGAAATACAGGAAATTATAAGAAAAATGTTGTTGATGCTGATCAAACAGAGTAACAGGCTGCCCAGAGAGGCTGTGGACTCTCCAGCCCTGGAGATACTCAAAACTCAACTGGACATGCTCTCAAGCAACCTGCTCTATTTGACACTGCTTTTAGCAGGGGAGTTGGACTGGATGGTCTCCAGAGATCTCCCTGCCAACCTCAGTCATTCTGTGATTCCATACACAATCTCAGAGAAGGAAGACAGTGAAAGAAGAAACAAGTTATGGAGAGGAAAAATAGTTTCTCAGATGAATTTATGCTCTCCTCTAACTGGAACGATGCAATGGCACGTGGTCTTTCCTGGAAACTACAAAGTTGTATAACTAAATAGAATAAAAAAAAAACCCAAAAAACCAAAACATTTCCACACTTGCAAAATCATGCACGTGGCATTTCTGGATCTGAGGCTGGTAGAGAAGTCAAATGCCTTAGAGGAAGTTTGTCACAGTATAATTGGTCTCTTTTACAACCAATGTGAACTCCAAAGCCATGGTTTCACAATCATTTGGCCCATCCTTGGGTTGGACCATGATCAGAAATCAAGCCCTCAGACTCCAATCAAATACTCTTGACATCTTCCTTGTACTGACACATGTGGTTGAAAACACATTAGTTTTCAAGCAGATTGGTTGGTTGTCTGCTCTGGTTCACCACATCCCCATTTGCTACCAGTTGTGCACAATTGGTAGCAAACAGAGGGAGGTGTGAAGACAAGGTTAGAGGCATAACCAGTCCTCCCAACAGCACCTGCATACCGGGCATTTTAGAGTGGATGAAGAAATGCAGCCCTTTAAAGAAACCATAAAATTACAGCTTTTCACTGACCAGAAGACAAACAGGAATGTATTTTGGTTTACAGAAGTATGATTTTAATGTATTTTTTAAAATATTTAATATTTAAATATATTAATTTTATTTTATTATTTATTTACTATATATAATTTATTAATAGTGTAATTAATTTAAATATTTAAATATATTAAATAACGGTTTTGATATTGTCCTGGAAATACAGAATGCAAGTGTTACTAATAACGTGCCTACTTTGACTCACTGAAAACCTTTCAGAAAGAACTGTCCCAAATCAGTGAAAAATAAAGACCAATGAATGATTTTCAACACAGCTAAGTGAAATCCATCTGAGCAGACAGGCTTTTAAAAGCTGACTAGCTGGCTGCACACCTGACACTTAAAATGCTACTGCAAACAAACTGCTCCAGACAACGATCGTCTTTTTCCCTAACAGACACAGGAAGAATCTCAGTTCCAAAGGAAAGTGATTTGCTCTCTGCAGGCTGACTGGCAAACCTTCCCCCCACCACATCCTGCATTAATATTGTGGCTTGGAGACAGGGAAATGCTCCTGTTTTCAGCAGCACACCCACCAGCTGCTTTCAGAGCCTTGCTGACGCCACTTCCCTGCCAGAAATATCATTCCTAGCACAAGATGTGGGAGAGATTTTATGTGAGACAGTTCAGCTCTGTACCTTTTGGGCTTTGCAGATCAGAAGAACTGTATTTATCGCTGTTTGTTTACACATCCAAATGTTACTCCACTGTTTACACAAACATTTTTCTGAATGCAGGCAGTTGTAAAACCACTAAATGAGCTATTTTCAGGCTGCTAGGAGCAGCTGCTGAACGAAAGTAATGAACAGAATGAAGGTTTTGAGGTAGGCACCTCTGGTTTAATCACACTCTGTCACTAACCGAGTGAAGAAGATCAAAGTAAGCTAGAGACTTTTTGAAAGGTAAGACATTTTGGGAGCTATGCCCTCCATGGGTTTCTTTGTAGAAAAGCAGAAGAGCAGTGCCTTTAACAGATGTGTAGGCAAGTCTAATTAGAGCTGCATGAAGTGACACTATCATCTTGTATAACCACCATGTTCTCATATGGCTCCATCTGCTAGACACAGTAGACCTTCACATGAAATAACAATCAAAGGAACTTTCCTGAAATGCAGAACTTCTGATGCTAAAAAGCCCTATTTAATAGGAAGCTGGACTTTAAATGGGAAGTATGCACCTAATGACAACATTACCTTGACAGCTGAGGTAACAAAACTGCTCCCATGGGTCTTTGACACAGGAGATCCAGTCCCGTGAGAGGCCTGGCAGACACTGCTCAGTTTGCTGGTTGGGCTCCCTGTGCACCAGGAAATAAAGCAGATGTCAGGTGAGGGCCAGGGAGTGGAGCTACTGCACACATGAAACCTCTTCTAGCAAGAAGCACAGCACTGCATTTCGACTGTATTGTCCAGGAGGTACATCAGTGGCAGCCGGCACGGGCACAAACCAAATCCACTACCGCATTTCCACCTGCAGAATCCATGCCCCAGAGAAGGTACTCTCCACCCAGAGCTCTGTGTGATGCAAGTAAAAGGTCAGGCACCCTTCCTGGGTGGCTGAGGATATTGGCTTCAGGTGCAAATATGTGAAATTAGGGCAGTGAATGAGCCACCAGTTGGAACTTGCTGCTGCAGATGTAAAGTCCTCTGCTGCCCAGAAGCCGTCTGAACCTACACTAGCCTTAGACACTGGCATGGAGGAAGGCTTGGAGTGGGAAGGGAAAGGAAGGCCAGAAAAGGAGGGAGACAATGTGAGGAGTAACAAGCAGAAGGGACAGAGTGAGTACAGGGACAGAGGATAAAGGAAGAAACAGAAATTAGGAATGAAGGCATAGGGTCCTCAGTGGAAGACTGCTCTTGCTAAACTGACAGATGGATACATGTGCCACAGCAGTCTCCTGACTCCCAAGATGCATGGGGGTTCAGTAGTAAACTTACCCTGCATTTTCAGAGTGTGTACACCACACTGCAGCTCAGCAGTTTTGTTACTGCTGCTATTGGGTTGGGTTGTTAGTTTTGTTTGTTCGAGAGACACCAAAGTCATGCATTACACTCAAGAAAACAATTATTAGTCTCTCATACAGTTGTACTCCAATCTGCATTTAAGTTTAGAAGTAAATGAGCAGCCATTTCTGAAAATCCAGGCTTTGGGAAGGCTGGCTTTCAGAGACCATGAAGATCTCGCCCCTCTTTTTAAATATGATCTGCAGCCTTACCAGAAACATCCCAGTGACTTTGTCTGAGAAAAACACAGTCCAGCCTGGCTGCTGCTGCCAAAAAGCCAGTTCCACATATCCTCTTGCTCCCTCACACAGGGTCTAGTGATGCGGCTCTCTGGCAAGAAAACTGGCAGGCCAGTCTGTACTTACATTACACTACTGTGGTGGGAAACTGCACCTTTAATGGCACCAAGACTTGTATGTCCAAACCATCTGGTGCATCTACAGACGTTATCCTCCGTGTACAAACCTCTACTGGAAGAGCTCAGAAGTTACCCAAACCATGATAAACCACTTAGGCAGAGTACACAGTCAGGCTGGAGGTAAGGAAACAGAAAAGAAAAAAGGCAGAAACCACCCAGCCAACCAAAAAACCCCAATTAATCAAACCCTATAAGTGAAACAGCTTCAGTATTACCAAGAACACCACAAAACATACTTTAAAAATCCAGTTATGGCTATGCTCCCCCTACCAATTTTCTCTGTGATGAAGTTAAAATGAACACGACAGCTACGTTCCCTCAGATAAAGGGTGGAACTTTAAAAAGTAGAATTCTTGCGCTTTCCAACCCCACCCAGCAAACGGTTTGTGTTACATGGAAGCTGCACTTCCTCACAAGGCTCTGGGCATCCTTTTGAGATGCTGGGAAGCACATATATACACAAACAAGCGTGCTTTAAAATAGCAGTTCCTGGCCAAAAATCACAACAAATAAATGACTTCAGAGGGACCTTTCCTCCAGCCCTGACACAAAGATTATCCATTGACTCCGATGCCCATCACCTGTGTCCTGCAGTTCAGTCCTCCCCCTGACCCCAGGTTTTTGTCACCACTGAGGGAATCCAGTTAGAGGAATCCAAACTGGCTGGAATTGAACCAGATAAAAGCTGAGAGCAGTAACAAACAGCCATGGTGTTCTCCTGGTAAGTGGGGTTTAAGCACTTCAACACACCCACTGCACCCCACACTGGGACCTATGACTGATCTGCCAGGCACTGCAAGCTCTCCATGCTTTTTGCCCACCTCCATGATACAGCTGTCACCCAAGCACCTTTGTGCTGTTTCTGTCTAAATCTGTGCCCCACTGTCTACACCACTTTCCCCTCTTTCCTTTTTGCCTGTGAAGAACAGGCTCTCTTTGAAGAGATGTCTGTGATTTTCTATTTGGCCTTACATTGTGCTGTTTCCTAAGGGAAGTTATGCTCAAGTCTGAGATATCCTTAACCATGTCACACAGGCCAGCTGTGCAAACCAACCACACTTTCCTCTTTTCCATCTTCACAAGCTGAAATACTGCTGTTATACCGATCATTTTAAAGAGAGAATAAACTTGAGTGTGTAAGACTGAGCCACTGCCTTCTATGATCACACTACACACCTGTGCTTGTGGCTGCTGCTCCAACCATCTGTCCAGGCTTGTCCACAATAATATACGGATTATTAATGACTGAACTAGCAGAGCCTTGCTTCATGTGCACCGGAGTGGACGTTGGGGTACGAGGTAGCGGAGATGGACTAGGGGTCGATATTGGAGAACCTTAAGAAAAAAAGTCCAATGCTTCTGGCTTGTAAATGTTGTAAGGACATAAAAACAAGGCAATAGTAGTACTTTGTAAAACAGCTTAGAAAAGGAACATTTTTTGAGGATGCATTTCCCAGCCTGAGCAAGATCACAGGACTTGGAGAAGGAAAGAAAAGACAGAAGGAAGGGAAAAGTCATCTAAAGCACTGTGGCTCATACCTACCCTGGCTATGATCTGTCTACCAGGACAAGCAGGGTTCCAAGGGAACTTGAGAAGCCATCTGGTCCATTCCTGAATCCCGAGGGACATTACCTACATCAGTCTCACTGCCAAGACCAGTGCACCCAAGGAGATGAAGGAAGAGAGTTGAGCTCTCCTTCCCTTGTGCAGCCCGTGGCGTTCAGAGCCTTTTGGGAACTGAGCAGTTCATCAGGCAGCCATGAGCACTCTAGTCCCTTCACTGCTCTCACTACAGCAGAAAACTTTGAAATCAAACTGTAAAACATGCAACTTCTGGGTAACAGCACCAGGAGAGAGAAAAAAAGCTGCTGAAGAGGTAAACAAGAAATACAGAGAAAAGGATAGGCAAGGAAGTGATCAGAGAATAGAGACAGCAGCAAGCACCAAGCTTCAACCACCTAATCTACTTTCTTGGCAGTGATTGACAATTAAAACAGAACATAAATGCTCATCAAATACAATTCCCATGTCTTCTAAACTGTTTTAAAATCTGAAAGGGGTAGCACTTCTCAGCAGACAGCAGAACCTCGGAAAAATATTCAGCAGAGTAACATTTAAATAGCAAAGATCAAGAGACAATAGTCCAAGGATTTTAAGAAAGAAAGGATGGCCCCTGCAATTCTTGCTTTCTGGGAAGCCTTGGGAAGAGAGGATCAAGAGAAGAGCTTATAAAGAAAGAAAGCACCACTTGGCATCGGTTCAAATGTAGATCAACCTGAGTACAGTTTTAAGATGTCAAGGAAAAATATTGAAATTCAGTTAAAAAAAAGCAAACAAACCAGACAAACTTTAAGAAAATTATCTGGGAGCAGATCATCAGAAATCACATATGCTGATAACTGGTACTTCATCTTCTCTACCCTGCAGATCAGAAAATGAAGAGATGCAACAGGTCATCTTTCAGCTTCAAAGCAAGTACCGTGGTGACCTGCACATTAATACTTTCTGATGTAAAACATCATCCAGTGGATGGTGTCATGACCAGGCAGGGACCACAGGTGAAATGAGCAAAACAGCACCTTGACTATGTTTGGTTCAGAAGCTGTCACACTGCTCCCTGCAGTCAGCTGGCAATTTAATCCAACACAGTGTGGACTTCTGGAAAAGGAAGACCAAAGCTGCTCCACCTCAGGAGATATGGCAAGCACAAGAGGGCTATTTGAGTCTACAAGGTTGAAACTAATTATTTGCCCAATAATCAGGAAAAAAAAATTCTTGTTAATCCATCCCAGCTTTCTGAAAGCAGGAGGGAGAAGAATGGCTTCTTCCTACATAAAAATACTACACATGGAAGATGTGTCCTTGCCTGGGCCTTTCTGTGGGTAGCAGTCCAGTTCAAGACCATCTATTTCATACTTAGAAGCACTCGAGAACAGGGAGAGAACAGCTCTCATCCTGCTTTTTATCTGTTGTGAAACATTTCACACTTGTATTTTTTCCTTGAGCATTCAGAAATGTTTAGCTCCTTATTCTAGCATTTCCTACTGCCTGATGTTCAAAGATTGGCAGGAAATCAGGGGAAGGACACAAAACAAGTCCAACTGGTTCCCTCTCTTGTTTTCCAGGGGGAAGCACTCAGGGAAGTAAACTAACATTCACCTGATACAATCTTGCAACTCATGGTGATAGGCTGGAAGGATTTTCCTGGTGACTCTGCAGGGCTTGGACTCTGACCTTGAGGCACTATTTTACAGCTAGCTGCAATGGGTTGAAAGGCTGAATTTCCATGGGAGCCAAAGGCAACTTTCTGTGTGGCTAACTTGGTGGGAGTCCGTTCTATCGAAGATGGCAGGGAATAAAACGCGGCATGTCTTTCGGTTTCAGCATTCCCAGAGAATCCTGATTAAAACAGGGAAAAGAACAGAAATAGTTCTTAGGCTGACACATCTAATTCCTAACTGTGCTTCTCTACAAAAACAAAACTCAGGTATGACAAACATGTTCTTGAAGGGAGGAAAGAAAAGGAACTGGTGAGAAGTGTTGAACCAGGATAAAGTGGGAAAAGGGGATTCCTCCTGTGCAACCCCATTGAACTTGTTGGAACAGAAGAATAAAATGACAGCATGCACAGCCTGTTCAGCTGTGGCCACTTCTTATACATCTTCTTGGAATGACCCTTCCACTGACCAAAAGCTGCTGGTAGTTTCAAGTGTCCTCAGTTAGGGCTCCACAGGACTAAGGCTGGGTCTCCCTCACAGAGAATCTCACAGTGCATATTTTGGAGTAAGAGCACAAGGAGACCACTTACTGCCCTCTGCGATGAGTTAAGGAATCCACCTTATTTGATGTAGGAGATCAATTAACCTGGAGCTGCTGAGAGAAGCCACTGTGTGTTAGTGTAAGGAGGAGGCAAGTCTCCTTCCTTCGTGTTGGCTGTAGCACTGCTCACCTAAAGGCGCTGCAAATCCTCCTGCTTGAATAAAAACCCTGTGCATTTAAAATTTGGTCGTGTTTGTCCTTTTTTTGGCCACAAGAAAAAAAACACATAAACAGCAGACATTCTTCTTGCTGAACTCAAACACCACCAGTGGCATCACGGTACCTACCAGGAAATACACCATGCAAGGCACCAGCTCACAGCCATTCCTTGAGTACAGGAATGTTGGGATAAATCAATAAAAGCATCAGACCACGCTGCATCTGCCTGTATTTTGAAATATAAAGTTTCTCAAACTAAGGAGTGCAAATCGTAACAGATACTCTCGTTTCTCAGTCCTGGTAACCAAGGTCTGTCACGCAAGCCCTGACACCAAGTGTTTCAGAAAATAAAGCTAAATTTCAACAGAGGTCCACCTTTTCCTGCTTCACACAACTTACAAATCACAGCAGTGTGCCCGAAGGGCCAGCACCAGCTTGTTTCAGGCAATCCAAAGGATCCTAAGCCATCAGTTACTGCCCCACCACAATGGGCACTGCATTTCCTGATCTTACATATGAAGGTGAGAATGAGATCCTGACATGCAGAGATGCCATTATCCCCCAAACACACACCACTCTTTTTCCCTTTCTTCAACACTACAGTAACTACAGCTATGTAGGGATTTTTGTTGCCCCCATAATCTCACCAACACATATAACTGAACACACTACTAGACCAATTCCTTACATGTCTCCAAGACATTCAGAAATCTAAAAACCTCTCTGAAAACAGTCTGCCAAGAAAAAAAAGTGCTATTCAACTACCTTATTTCCAAGTGCATCTGTTGTTGCTCCATATTCACTAATTTTAGCAAAACAGAGCCCGCACAACAATTCTTAGATTAAAAAAAACCAAAACAACAAAACCCAAAACTCAAATAATCTGTAACAATTTCTGATTTATATTTCAGAGCACACTGAGGAAATGTTCATCTGGGGTGAGCAAGGAGCAGGTAGCACCAGCAAGCTTTAAGGCGTAAGAGCAATAAAGAAGAGATCCAGAAGAGTTGAAGTTCCAAGAACTCACACTTCACTGACACCCATTTGCTTTACCTTTGTCCACAGAAGCATCTGGGCTGGAGTCTCGCAGCTGTTTAATTGGTGAGGAAGCTTTGACTGGTGCTGGAATACTCAATGGTAGTGATAAAGATGTAGGAACATCAGAAAGTTCAGATTCTGAAGACTGGGAGAAGAGATACTCCTCACCAAGGGAATGTCTGTGTAGCTCCACATCCACTACCTTCCAAAAATAGGAGAAAAGACATTAGTATTTGGTGGCTAGGCAAAGATATAAAAAGTGAAAACAACTATGCCTTTTTATTTCTCTTTTTCTTTCCCCCATCTCTGCATAACATTTCCATTCATTTCAGGGACAGTTCCCAAAGGTCCAGCAGCACTTGAGCTAAGACAAAAATCTTGCAACGTTTAATCCTCAGAGTAAAACAGCACATCTCGCAGTCCATGGGGAAATCTGAATAGTGAACACTGATTAGAGCCCAGCTCCAAGCATCCCACTAAGGAAAGGGCTGCATACCCCTGTAGGGACAGGCACAAAACTGCAGCTTGCCTTTTCTGGCTTTTTTGATAAGGCCTTGAGAAACACACCACATGATCTACTCTTCAAAAGTGTTCTTTAATCACAGTAGACATGTCACATTAATGTTTTCTCCACAGACTGAAAAGCTGAAGTAATGCGATTTCACCACAAAAGTTTCCATTTACTACAGTACAACAAGGGGAGAACAGTATCAAGACAACTTTGGGAATACAGCAAACTACAGGTTATTAATTCATTTACTTATTTTAAGAGTTCATTTTCCATTAAGGCACTGAGTCCTGTCTGACAGAGAAACTTAGAAGTACTTAGTATACTGCAAAATTTCAGCAGGATAGCTGAGTGATCCCTTTAACTTAAACTCTTTATGTGCGAGCTCTGCAGCACATTAGAATCCAAATTATTTAACATTTAGTACCAAAAGCTTCAAAAAGAATTAAAAATTAAAACTGCAGTACAAAGTTCTTTCTGAAAGAAGAGCTGAAACAGTCTCCCCTGAACCAGGAAGGGGAAAAAATTATTGTTGTCATGAGTAGTGACAAGGTGTCACAGTCATTTCATCCAACGAGAGAGCAAAATCTACATTCTAGAAACTGCAAAATCAAATGGGTCTGACTCCTGTGCTTAGTCCTACGTGTCTTTTCTTTCTAAACATCCTTCAGGCACTCAAAGCACAACCTCCATCCCACGACCCTCTGACTCACCGTTTCTGCGCCAAGTGTCTGCAGGCCTGTGTAGGTCCTGTCCAGCTGGGTAAAACAATACAATATATTAACCAGGACAAAGTAATATATTAGGTAGAATTTACAACACAAATTGTTTGAAAAGAGTTCAAACTGTGTAAGTTGAGCAGCAGCACATCCAATTTCTTAAGGCCACAGGGTCAGGAATCTGCATGCTGTGTTAAATGTGCCTCTTCTGCAAAAAAAGTCAACCATGACCCAAAGCCCACACTAAAATAGGAAGGAGCAAAAAAGCTGAAGGAAATGAGATTGTTGAGGAAATTTCAGTCTAAGAGAAGTCCTCAAGCAGTGCCCTTTTTCATTTCTCATCTCAATATAATGAAATAATAATGAGAAAAACGCAGAGATTTAAACTGACCAGCACAAAGGCTATGTTTATAGTTTTTGATTAAATAACTGTTCACACTGAGTATCAGCTGATAAAGAGGCATAACATCCCAGAGGCATCTGTTAAGACACCTACAGAGAGAAGCTGGGTTTGACAGGCTGCCAGCCATAAACAAGGGCTCAGCTCATCCATATCCCCTCACAGCAGCCACAGGCTCAGCACGAACAGCAAAGGTTTGCTGATTTGAGCTCTTGTGTGCCAAGGACTGTCTCAGTTTTCTTCTGTAGGCTGGGCCTCCTTCACTGCCCATCACTGTTACCAATTTCTCCCCAGGTTATATCTCCCCAAATATATTTTACTTATCATCTGCATTACATGTCCTTAAGCTGCAGGGGAATATTTTCAACCTCCTCTACTGTCTATATTTGGGGTTGCAACGAGGTATCTACATTAGCATGAAATTCATTAATGGAGGCAGAGTTTAAATAAAACTAATGCTGCTCAAAGAAACAGGAGACTAAACCAGCTCAGGACTTAAGTCTGCTAATGCCAGGGACTACTAATTAAAAGGAAAACAAGAGCAATGGCCTAGTTTTCCAGGACTGCTGCATAGTATAAATCCTACTGAGTGCTGCAGGAGTGAGTGGGTTGGAAAAGAAAGCTCTTTTCAAAAGGAGCACAGACCAAATGGGGAATCTCAGCCCTCCCTGCCCACTCTAACAGGGATAATCACTAGCTGATATGTGCAAGTGCTGAAGGAACAGAACAGACACAGCGGTCACTTTACCAACAGAAAGACAGCCCTGCAGCCCTGTCAGGTTTCAGCCAGTGAGAGCAGGATAAAAATCTCAAACTGTAGGGAAAAAAAAGCAGGTAAATGCTTTGCTGCTCTGAGTAGAATCGACTCCAGCTGCTGCAAGGCTGGGTTCCCTGGCTACTGCATTGAATCCAATATAGCCAAGGTAAGAGGCTTTCCTGGATCTTTTTTGATTCTCCAGCTCAACTGTTCATGTGAAAATAATCAGCAGGACATACACACAAAAGAAAGAGGCAGAAACACACACACAAGCGAAGCCTCTTTCAGGTTATGCAGGACAGCTCATTTAAATGCCTTTCTCTAAAGTATTTTGTTCAAATACCTTCAAATTGTGTATGATATCAATCCTCTTGTTCTGGCTATCCTTGAAGTGTATCTGTACTCTCACTGGAAATTCTCCCCAGCCTCTCCTGGTCAGGTGAAATGGAGGTTCTCTGGAAACAAATAGTGATTACATTTTGATGCAGAAGTGGTATAGATTTCATCTCCCTCTTTTTCAGAAAGCCCAAGACTGATTTTCTTGCAGACAACTACAGCTATCTTCAGGCCTGCTATTCGCCACGAAGAGAATGCACTCACAGCAATGAGAATTTTATGGCTTTGGAAACTAGCTGAAAACATACTTTAACTTTACAGAAGGGGACAGGGGAGAAAATGATAAAAAGCTGTTGGATGAGAGGCATAGGAAACAAGTGTCTTATTTTGAAAAGAAAAAAAGGCTGTGTTATGTCATATGTCAAATGAAAAATACTCTCTTCAAAAAACCCCAAACCAGCCCCTAGAGCACAGCTGCAAGGTGAGCTTTCAGTGCAGCATTTTGCAATCACTTCCTTCTGTTCCCTATCGAGCAGAGAGAAGACACATGCTTCATATAACACCCAGAAAACAACATACAGACAACAAGGAAAAATTAACCACTGTCATTTTCCAAGCTGAAAAAGAGGTGTGTATTTATCTGTAACATTTACTGTTACTTTGTATTTCAGCTTGTTATTGTAAATCCCAAATGTAGTTTTGCAACAAAATGGGAGAGGTTTACAGGCTGTTTTTAGTCCAGAACATTAATGTTCACTAAGATGACTGGGACTCTGACACCAGAAATCAATTAACCAGATGGGATTAAACCAGAAGACAAACAGCACTGACATCAGATACTGGAAACTGAGAAAAAAAGCACAAAAAGACAGCAGTCAAGTGTAATTTGGTTACACAGGAAACACAAAGAAGTTTGCTACATCCTGCCATCACAGAATCATAGAATCAGCTGGGTTGGAAAAGATCTCAGAGATCATCAAGTCCAACCCTTGATCCAACCCTGCCGTGGTTCCCAGACCATGGCACTGATGCCACATCCAGTCTCATCTTAAAAACCTCCAGGGATGGAGAATCCACCACCTCTCTGGGCAGCCCATTCCAATGTCTCATTACTCTCTCTGTAAAAAATTTCTTCCTAATATCCAACCTAAACCTTCCCTGGCACAGCTTGAGACCGTGCTCTCTTGTCCTACTGCTGGCTGCCTGGGAGAAGAGATCAACCTCCACCTGGCTCCCCCCTCCTGTCAGGGAGTTGTACAGAGTGATGAGGTCTCCCCTGAGCCTCCTCTTCTCCAGCTAAACAACCTCAGCTCCATCAGCACTTGTGCTCCAGTCCCTTCCCCAGCCCCTCAATGTCCTTCCTGAATTGAGGGGACCAGAACTAGACACAGCACTCGAGGTATGGCCTCACCAGTGCTGAGTCCAGGGGGACAATCACTTCCCTGGTCCTGCTGCCACACTGTTCCTGATACAGGCCAGGATGCACAAACTCACATGAATAACATGAAATGCAACAACTGAATGATTTTTCTCAGAAGGAAATTAAAACAAAACAAACAAAAAATATTGAACATGTTTGGCACATTTTCTACATAAAATGTACTATGTTGCAGTAAGCCAAGTCAAGCCAGAGGTTAAATACAGACATGGAATACTAAACCAGGAAAAGAAGTTGCTAACTTTCCAAGAAACTTGGCACTGTAAGCCTGGCAAGCATAAAGACTGGAATAGTGACTGGAATAATTCCTTTTTACCTCACTTCTACCAGGTCGTTAGGTTTGTAACTGGGATGGAGGAAGAACCAAACTTTCTTGACAAAATGATTTATGCTGGGTTCTCTCCGAGAGCCTCGGACGTACACCATCCATTTATGGGTTGACTGATCATTTTCTTCTCTCTTGTCAGGGGGAATGTACCTGGCAAAGAAAGTAAAAAAACAAACACAAGATAAAAATCCCAAATAGAAAAATACTGCAAAAAGCATTTCAGGAAAGTTTAGGCAAAAAAACTGGGGATGGTAAAATGCCTGTGGGAACCTTGCCCCCGTACAGTTCGCTTGTTCGTCCTTACTCTGACAGTTCATCCAGGAGCAGATACAGGTCCCAAAATCTACTCTACTCTTCTAACACATTTACTCTGTTTTAATGCACAATGGCCGTATGAAATTCACCTATCTAAACATTTGGCTCTTAATTGGGAGGACTTAATTTTAACATTCTACCACAGCCAGATTCCTTTTCCCATCCTATCCTGAGATATCACAAGCAAAGCCACACCAGAACACATCAACAACTCTGCTATCATAAATACAATTTATACAATAAAAACAATTATTCTTAGGAATTTTTAAGAAACTTCGGAGTCAATACAGGAATTTTTAAGAAACTTTGGTGTCAATACTTAGTTCTGGGTACAGCCTTAGATAGATTTTCAAGATGCAAGTCTAAGACTAGGCTTTGTCAGCAAATGCCTGATACTTTCTATGCAAAAGACTGACTTGAGTAGTGCCAGGGTGGAGAGTTAAAACCTGGAATTGTCCATAGTTTCCTAAAATTAATGCCTTTCTTCACTAATTTCCTCAAAGTTCAAAAATTATGTATATTTACCTGGAAATTTTAATAAATATATAAATAAAATCCGTAAAAATTAATTTATTCAGATTATTCTGGGCTGTCACAATTTTCCTCATTCTAGTCATTTGGTGCATTGGGGTTTTTTTTTCTGTTTAATAAAACCCCCACACTATCCCTAGGGACACACTGAATTAACCAACTAATTCAATTAATCAACACACTGAATTAGGACAACTTGCTTTTCCAAAGTTTCATGGGAAAGCTTCAGACTTCTAACCGATCAAAAAAAGCTGAAATACTTCCCTTGAGAGAAATAGATCTTAAAACCTCCCTATATATACATATATAAATGAAACAATTACTAAAACACCTGATCCTCCCACAGAAAAAAACAAACACCTCATGCAGACACCTGAGGAGAGCTGCCTTGGCTACAGTGATTATTTAAGGGCAACACCTTATGTTGTGACAGCCTAGCAATTTTATTTGCCTCCTAATTTTAACCTCCTATTCCATTTAATCCTGAAACAAAGGACCGTCCCTCAGGCTCTGGATACTAACTTGGAAACGTTGCCAACCACAATCGTTTTCTTCACATAAAGCCGTGAAGTTTCATCATTTGACAGTCCGGCATTTCGTTGTCCTGGTTTTTGAGAGCTTGAAACACCCGAACTGTCCTGAGGGTAGGGGAAGAAAAAAAGGCAAACAAAAACCCAAACATTCCTCTTAAACATCATTTTGTTTGGTGCTAGAAATGTAAGGTGCTGTTAAAAAAAAAAACAACAGACCTGCATAAATGAAAGACCAACAACAAATCATCCCTAAAAATATTTGAATTGCTGTCCAGACACATTTAAGCAACTCAGGCATGGAACAGTGCTACCCTACCTAGCCAGGAGCGCACGGCACAGCTTGACTGAGCGGACATTGTGCGACATCACATGGATCTGAGTCATGATTTCAGCTTGGCTTTCAAAAGCACTACCACTGCACTATCTGAAAGAAACAGGCACTGCTAGAATGGCATCATGTTGGTCACTAATCAGAAAACAAAAGGTAAATCTCCCACAAGTGGGTGCTGAAAATCTAAATCTTTCTCCTTCCCAGACTCTGTTGCTTTGAGGGACTCTGGTGTTGCTTCATGGTGAAGAGTCAAGGCTGGGCTTGAGACAGCAATTCAACTCCAACTCAGCAGCGACAGCAGCAGCCACACCATGTCACTGACATCCAGGTGAACCTGCAAATCCACCACAATCCTTGGGGCACAATACAACCAGCAACCCTGTAACACAACCCCAGCTATTACTGGGGCCAAGACTCCCTGATATGACAATGATATGACCACCTACGCTGCCAACACAAATGGAACTGCTGTTTGCATGGGAACAAGAGGCTTTTCTACAACTCTCGGATAAAGCAGATGTCTGGAGAATAAGGGACTGCCATCCTCTAGTGACCAACAGAGCTGGAGCTGCAGCTTCCTGGAGCACACTCCACTGAGCTCTCCCCAGACGAGGGTCAGCATGGGGAGCAGTGGATTCACTAGGAACCATTAGCTCTCCTCTGTCAAGTCAGTCATGCCCCAAAGTGGAGCAAGAAGCCATGAAAGGCTGGGATGGCTCCTGCTCCTTAACACTCCCTCAGTCACCTCTGGGCCACAGGCTGCAGGTTGAAGATGTACCAACATGCTACACTCAAGCAATGGAGCTGCTCCATCAATGCCCTCAGTGCAAGAAACAAGTTCTGTTGCTCTGGTGGTTTACGATGTAGGTGGGTCCACATTCCATAGGGTGTATCTGCCTTCTGGCACAGACCCCAAGCAGGGTTTCAGCAAACTGCAGCCCTGTTATCGGTGGTGTCACACTGTTCAGTGGAGGCAGAATCATTGCCCTTTCTGCCATGTATTACTACAACTTGCTCACCTGCAGAATGCAGCCATATTCACTGAGATATACCCATCCCTTGGGTTAGGGGCTGTACTCGTCTCAGGCCTGACTGCTTAAATGAGGAAAGGAAACGGAAGAGTTTCACCTCACCTACTAAGGCACATTTCACCTGCAGACAGTGAGTGAGCCTCCTCTGTGGAGCTACCTGCAGTCAACAGGTGAAGCATTTGTGTGGCTGCACAGTGAGCCACAAAGGGAACGGATCCAGGTCAAAAATAACCCAGGAAAGAGCACAAGGGAAAAACAACAGAAGGTATGTTTAACCTGGGTCAGTCTGGTACAGTTGAGCAAACAGTGATACTATGATGCAAAACAGCAAGCAGCACCCTAAAGAGAAAACCAACTCAAACTGTGCACCCAGGCTCTACCAGCTCACACTCCCAGGGTGAGCTACTCCACCGGTGTTACTGTTTTCACTACAGGTTGCTGAGGAGGCCAAACCCCTCCACTGGATCAACTGCTCTTGCAGTCCCCATCGGCACCCAGGGTCAGGCACTACTTCCTAAAAACACATCTTGCTCTTCTCTCCAGGCTCTGCCCTCCTGACCTGACTTCCATCCGTACAGCAAAGCCCTTTGCTCAGGCTCTGAAGCACCTCCTAGCACAGAGGCTACGACCAGAGAACAGCAGAGCTGTGCTGCCACCACTCTCCCTGTGGCCTGCTGAGCTCACTGCTGGGCAGGGCTGAGTTAAGAGGAGTTACCCACGTCACAGACACTTCAGGTGGCCTTACAGCAAAGCCAGGCTGAGGGAGTGGGAGCAAGCGGTTGGAGAGGGCAAGAAACAGATCTTCAGCAAGGTGGGTGAAAACATGAAGAGCTCCTGGTGCCAGCACCGAGTCCACAGAGCACACACCTCCAACAACTCGACCACCACTCGAGTTTTACTTTACCCGGCCAGCATTTCTGCTCTGTCTCTGGTCCAGGCTGTTTGCCAGCCGCTCCTCTGCGTCCAAGTTGCCATTGTCTTTGTCCAGGAGAAAGTCATTGTGCTGAGAGAGCGAGTCGCTCTCGGAGTGGTTGGCAGAGGGAGTGTCTGAGCCCTGGTTAGCTGGAGATGAGGATCTCGAGGGCGATTCCAAGAATTTCTTGATTGAAGGGTGATTAAGAATTGTTGCATCACATGACCTGGTGCCCTGCAGGAAGGAGGCAGATCTGGTTACTATACCCCTGCAGCCCAGATAAAAAAGGAGCTGCACCAGAAAAGAAAAAGTCAATGTCTGAAGAAAGAGCAAATATTTAATCAGCTGCCCTGTAGGAAAAACATATGTTGCAGAAGATAAAAGCTTAAAATGGTTCTACACAAACAGCACCACAAATTGAATCTGTTCCCTTAGGCCTTTTGATCTCAGAAACCCATCAGGTTTTGGAAACGAAGACTGCAGCCTACTCAAATACCTACAATGCCCCTTTGTAAGTAACATCATCTCTTCCCATGCAGACACCTACACTCTCCCACCACACACAGGAAGGCCACAGCTGCCCAGCTCTTGCAGGCAATCAGGGTACTAAGTGCATCAGGCTCTATAGCTTTGATACTCACTGGCCGTCTTGTCAAAACCTGTGAGGTAAACTACACATATTAGCACCCTGCCTGCTCCCAAGGCTTAACAGAGGATAAATAATAATGTGCTTAGACAAGCTTGCAAACTTTCCTCAAAACGGACATCTTAGAGCTAATCTTAGATCCTCCTAAACCTGCAAGGGGGAGGACAAGGCGGGCAAGTGTTTACATCTCTTTATTTTTCTTCCTCAGTATGACAAAGGCCCTTTTCTTAATTCCTGAATTTGCTTTTAACCTCAGAAGTAGAAGGAAAACACCCATCACTCAAAGCAAGCGTCCCTCAGTCACTTGTCCCAGCCACCAGTCCTCCCTGTCACCTTGGTTTGATGAAACCCCCCTCTGTCAGACAGACAGCCTTGCTCCAGCTCCTGAAGCCACAGACACACCAGAGTGGCACTGACAGCTTTTCTGATAGGCAGTACCAGCTGAAAGAGGTTTCTTCCCTGCCCAAACCATCTGGATCAGCCAAGCTGGCACAATTATTCATGGGGAGGGGGCAGGTCACAAAGGAAAACAAATTAAGAAACTAACTTGGGATTTATTTGTTGCTTTGTTTATTATTGGTTTTGTTCTTTTTTTTTTCTTTTCCTTTGCAGGTTTATTTTTCATCCATGTGAATTCCCTGATCCAAAATTCTGCCAACATGATGGAGGGGGTTGCATGGGGATAGACACCAGCACCACTGTGGAGCAGCAGAACTGCCTTCAAGAGGTGGTAGCAGGAGTGGAGTTAAACACTGTCCCATCTTGGCTTTTAAAGGATCATTTGAGAACATTCTTTCCAACTGTCCCTTACACACACAAGTGAAGCAATTACCAACTCTCAGTTACCTGCTTATGAGAGTTATATCCGTACATCCAATGGTAGGGACACACGCCCAAAAAAAACCCAAAACCCAAACCAAACCACTACCAAGACCCTCTTCTTTTGCTTTACCTCTTGTCAAGTAAAGTGACCAACACCTTGTTCAGTAATTTGTGGGAAAACATAATAAACTGTAATCGTGAGTCCTCATAAGCCTCAAAACTCAGCAGCACTGGGTTCCAGAATTGTTTTTATTTATGAGAACAGGTCAGGAATTTGCAAATCATCTTCCTAGAAGTTCTGAATGAAAGTACAAAGACTCCCATTCTTCCAGAAGGAGAAACAAGACAATCATTCCCTGCCGAGTCAAACATACACGAGCCACAAATTAAAAACAGACAACAAAGAAAACTGAAACCAGCAACAATTTCAAAATGAGAAAGAAGTGATTTAGCCTGCATGCAAATCAGGATTTTCAGAAAAAATTAAAAATGCAATTGAAGATACAGCTATTGTAACCATAATATCATAAATACTACTTGGAAAACTAAATAAAGCTAGGAGGTGCCAGTAAGTTTTGTGAATACTTCAAAACAATTACAAAATGTGTTATTTCTAGCAAGTGTGAAATTCAGCAGGGAAAAAAACAAACACCCTGCATGGCAGAGCAAGGGACAGTACAGCTCTTGTAGACACATGATAGCATTGGATAAAGGCTTTCAAAGATCAGAACTTAGCTCACATTCTTCAGCTGCCCAGACAAAAATCAAGGGGGGCAGAGGGATCTCCAAGCCTCCCAATGCTTCCACAACTTTTTCCAATGCCTGTTGCTCAACTCAAGCTCATTGAGAGAAAAACAAGCTGAACTTTTTTTTCTTTTTACCCCACTCCAAGCCCTGTGGAAATCACAATAGGGAAACGACGATCAGCACTGAGAGCCACTGCTTGGAAGAGAAATTCTTATGGGACTACAGTGAAACTCATGTTTGCAGCACCCATCTGCAACTTCCAAAAATCAACTCAGACCTTTACTGGAAATCAGATCAACTCCCTGAATTGAAAAGATAGTAATGAAATACCTACACTGGCAAGGAACTACATGGCATTTGGGAGCCTGCACAAGTCGTGAACATGCTACAATTAGCAGTCATTAAGGGCAGAGTGCTCAGAACTGGGGTTTAACTAAGAAAGTTTGAGGTTCTTTTAATCTTGTGAATTTTTAATCTCCCTGTAATATCTCCCTGATTTATATCCTGCTCTACTGCTGCCATCAGTCTGTTCATCAACCCTTCAACAGACTGGCTGCCAGGTTAAAGGGAGGATGGTTTCATGGCACTGCCCAACCCTCTAAAAATCTTGAAATCTTGATTTTTTTTTTTTTTTTTTTTTCTTTCTTGAAAAGTGCCAAAACCCATCTGCTTCCACTCTCCTCCTGTGGAATGGGAAAGCATGTTCCCCATTTTTCAGGGCTTTGCAAGGACAAACTGTGCAGTGTCTGACAAGAAAGGTGCTGTCATGCAAAAACTGATGAAAAAAAATGCAGAGTATTTTAGAAACCAGAACCAGGAGATGCTGAATGACTTCTCAACTGCTCCCTGAAGGCTCCTCTTTGCCAAGTTCCTGAGGCTCAGCTGGTGGTGCACAGGTCTCCTCTCCCACTGGCACCCCACTTGCAGTTTGCATTCCCCCATTTTGTTAAATCACATCTCAAAAACAAACATCAGCCAAATAGCCAGTGAACTCTACACCTTTCTTTGCAAAAATCCCCCTTAGTCTTATTGTTCCCAGAGTAATTTTTACCTCTCCAGCTTTAAGGAGACCGGCAGATGCGTAATAGTTGGCGACAATACAGGCACGCAGCTTGTCCATCATCCTTCTTGCTTCGATCAGGCGCTACCAAAAGAAGAGGCAACATACAGTAAAAATAACCTGCAGCCATCACCACACCCCCATACACCAGCATCTTAAGTATTGATAGGAACAAAACCTTTATACCTGATCTATAACTTCGATTTCATGTTCTTTACTCTTCATTTCGACAGCAAACTGTTCTTTTATAATAGTCTCAATCTTCTGCACGGTAACATCTCGAGCTGTAGGAGGCCACACATGGAAAATAAAGAAGAATGAATTATTTACTCTTCTATTTTTGAGGCTCTATTTGAAAACAGAAAGATCAGAGATCACTACGGAGTGAGAAGTGAAGGGATAATAAGTTCAACACACACAGAGAAAAAGGGAAGGATCATTTTCCTGCGAAAGAAAGTTATTTGCCTTAACAAAAACCACATGTATCCTTAAAAGCTGGCTTATGTAGAGAGCTGTTTTTTCCTTTTTAGGTCTGAGATGACAAATAGCAGAAAATGGGAAGAACAGGACCAGTTTGTTTACTTCTGTCTCAGTGCAGCTGTAAACAGTAAGAGGAAAACTCCAAACTGCTACGGCCAAGTGCAGTTACCGCTGTGATTGCGCAGGAACGAGTGGGAACACCAGGGAGGTTTTTCTGCTCTCCTTGGCCAGATTCACATCCAGGAAATTTACACCACATCACGCAGCAATAATGAGGCAAACCCATACTTCAGCACTAGCACGAAGTGCAGCCTCCTCTGGAGTGCCTACAAACCATTTATTACTCATAAAGGAAACTATATTATCAAAAGCTGGTCTATCTCTTACAAAATCCCCTTCCAGCACAGCAGTCAAAAAAATTTAGCCTTTCAGCAGGAGTTTACTGACCTCAGTGGAAAGTATGTAGTTTAAGATTTCAAACTGGGCAAATACCTAACAGCAAATTAGTGGCTAAGAATGAAATTGGCACATTATTGTATTTTTCTAGGACATGTATACATAGGAAGAACTGTTCTTTTTGCTCTACACATACCACAGCTTTTAATATTGCCCTTCCTTTGTCACCTCCGTTACCCCTCAAGGGGGTTCAAACAAGAACTATTTTTATCAAGCTCTAAGTAAGAATCTGGCAAAGCAAGAATTAACACTTCTAGAATAAAGCCTGGAAAAGGTGCTCCAGCTTGTGCCAGAAATACAGTGACTCCACTGCAAAGCAGATCAGAGAAACAGCCTGGGCTTCTCTGGAAAAATTTCACATTGCTTCTACATGGAATAGAATGCAACAGCACCAAGACTTTGGCTTGAGCTTCAGAGCAAGCATGTTTTCCTAAGAGGTATGTATCTGTTTGAAGAGGTTTCTAATATCCCAAAAGAAAGAGTAAAGAAATCAAAAGCAAGTCAAAACCTTGCTGGTATGTTCCAGACAGCATACATAACTGTACTGTCTGATAAGGTACCTACAACAGAAGTGAGGCAACTGATACCTCTATATGCAACAGGGGCATCCTAAATATTTTTACTTATTTCCACATACCTATATATATACACTTATATAGTCTAGGATCAGCAGTAGTTCAAGCCCACATTAAAACAGAATTACACTGGAATCTGTATGACTAAGGCAAAATTAAAAAGCAGAGGGATATAATTTACCTCCAGCCATGCCTAGGAAATTCACATGTAAGGCTACACTTAAAATAAACCTAAACAGATGAAGTTATGAGATGTATGGTTCAGATGGGGACAACTTCATCTCTTCCCTGAGACATGATGCCATGCCACACCAACATTATGACAATTAAAGCACTTTAGGATTTGTGGTTATATTAGGCTTTTAAGGACACTTTATTTTCGTATTTTGCCCAGCTTGTGTCAACCACAGTCCCTCATTAAGACTGTGTTAGTGAAATTTGTATACTTCAGGAATTGAAAGCTGGAGATCTTCCATGAGAGGAAGAAAGAAGCCAATTTGGAGGAATCACCTGAACAGAAAGTTCACTTTGGCAAGGACAGTTTTCCAGGGCCCTAAGACTTTGCCTGCTTGTTATCAAGACTTTCTGAAGAAGTTGCTTCAGAAGCAGATTTAAAATCCCATCTGCAGTCCCTGGGACACTTCAGAACAGAGGGCGGTGACTTCTGGCAGCCAGACAGGGCAGGCAGCTGGGAGTGGTGACACGGCCACACGCAGCACAGCTGCACTGGGCCCCACTGTGAGGGCCCCTGCCCCACGTGGCAGACAGGACCTGACCGGCAACACATTCACTTCAGACTCCTCAGACCTGACCAGCTGTACACCATCCTCCAAAACATCACCCACGAAGCCATCATCTGTCCCTCTCCAACTGGCAGCTCTGGCACCCTGCTCTATTCCTGGATCATCTTCAGATCCCACAGCCAGCCTCGGTTTTCTCACCTCCCTGTTCGTCAGCTCTTCCCACCATGATCCTCTCACTAGCTGTGCTATGCCAAAAATCACTGGCCTACTCCCTGTCCCCGGGGCAAGAAGCTCCACTCTCATTTGCCCAGAGAGGACTGCAACCTGTCCCAGGCACTCTGCCAACAGGCTGGTTTCCAAAGCATATCTAATCGTGCCAAATGCAAACCTACTCATCCAGCTACTCTCTCCACTACACTTCTTTGTCCCCATCTCCTTTAGTCAGGTTCCTCTTCCTCCTCTCTTGCATGTTTCAAGGCCCCTTCCTTCTCCTTAACTTATCCCTTCTACACTGCTCTTTTCCATTTTATCTGCCTGCTCTTGCAAACATTTGTCATCTTCCAAGAGCCAGTCTGTGTACTGCAGGGTCATGGATTTTTTCCCCCTCCCCAGGCTGTACTGCAAACTGTACATCCCCCAAAACATAAACAAACTGCCAATCCTTCCAAGAGCAGACTTCAACTGCAAAACAGATATACAGGCTGCAGCACAACTCAGCATGGGAAGGTGCACTGTCAAATACTTCAGCAAACAGCAGGAACCAAAGTACATGGCTGGGACCTTGGAGAGCTCGTGCTCCAGCTGCTATCACACGCCAAAGACTGCATCCTCACACTTTATTTATGGTTCAGATAGCAGGTAGGGATGACTACACATACGGCACATCTTCATTTGGCTACACAGAGGTATCACTACTTGCCTTGCTCAGTGTCTGCCCTTTGGCCCCTTAGCTCCTGCCCCAGCCCTTTTCTGAAGGTTTGTGGACAGCATGCACATCCACAGCGTTTCCAACTCCACAGCTCCTACCTGACTGTTCGGCTGCTTTGTGCCGCTTGTTGGGATGTGTGATGGTGATCTCCTCATAGTCGGGGTCCTTCTCTGCGATCACTCTCTTGATCCCAGACATGTTCTCTACTCCACTGACAGGAAAAATAAAAGCATTAGCGTTACCCATAGTGACCTTCTGGGCAAACTTCAACCTCTCACCTCGTTCGGGGAGGCCTGTGGTGCACCCGCAGGAGGGGGGGCAACTCCTTCCCCAGGGGCTGGAGATCATCCCACAGCTGCACAGGGGAGCTGGTACGTTCTGTACAGCCCAGAAGCTTCAAACGCCTCCCGGCCCTGCGGTTCCCGACAGGCCGGGGGCCCGCATCCTCAGCGGGGCTGCAGCGGTACAGGGCCCCCGTGCCCCGCTGCCCATGAGGGGCAAAGAGACCCTGCTCGGGATCCCGAGACTCCGGGAGAGCCAGGGCTCGCTCCGCACAGGCACCCCCGCCGCTGGAAGGGGGAACTCGGGCACCCCAAGCACACGGGGAGAGCCCAGGGTGCCCCAGCACCAGCAGGGCTGCCCCGCTCCCCGCCGCGGGGTCACACACCGGCCGTGCCCCGCCGAGAACCGCCTAACGCGGGCCACGACCCTTCCCGTGAGGGGGCAGCGCGTCCCGCCGGGGCGGGAGGGGCGCGGGGCAGGACCCGCAGCCGCGAAGCCGGGCCGAGGCCGCCGCGGGGCACGGTGTGAGTATCAGAGGTGTCCGGGGTGACGGCGGTGGCGGTGCCGCCGCGGGGCGCGGAGGGCGGAGCGCTGCCCGCGGCCAGTCCCACGTGCGGCGGCGCCGCTCCCCTCCCCCGCCGCGCACACAAAGCCGCCGCCGCGGCCGCGCTCCCGCCCCGCGCCGCTCCCGCCCCGCCGCTCACCCGCGCTCCGCCACTGCCCGGCCCCGCCGCCCGCACCGGCCGCCCCCGCCCGCCGCGCCCGCGCCGCCCCGGGCGCTCAGCGCCGGCCCCCGCGGGGCCGTCCCGCCGCCGCCGCCGCCGCCATGAGCGCAGGGCCGAGCGCCGCCCTCGCCGCCGGGGCGGGTCCGCGCAGGCGGGCAGCGCGCGGGGGGCGGTGCCGGGCCGTGAGGGGCCGTGCGGGGCCGTGCGGGGCCGTGAGGGGCCGCACCTGCCGCCGCGGGGGCAGAGGGCGGCGCGGGGGGCGCGGAGCTACCTCAGGGAAAGGGTCCAGCCGGGCCCGTGGCGCTGTGGGGGCCCGGCCGCGCCGGTCCCGCCGCGGGCGAGGAGCGGGCTGTGGGCAGGGCAAGGCTCGCCCGCGGCACCTCGGGGTCCGAGATGGGCGACGCGGCCGCGTTCCTGTGTGGAGAAACGGGTGCAGTGCCCTGATCCGGACTTGCTGCCTGGAACAACGGTGTTTTAACGCGTAATAGAATTTGGGGAAGACATTTTAACACGGAAGATACTCCACGAAAGGATGATGAGAAGGGCACTGAGGTGCTGGAGCGGGTCCAGACAAAGGCGACGGAGATGGTGAAGGGTCTGGAGCACAAGTCCTGTGAGGAGCGGCCGGGGAGCTGAGGGTGTTTAGCCTGGAGAAAAGGAGGCTCAAGGGTGACTTTATCACTCTTTACAACTCCCTGACAGGAAGCTGTAGCCTGGTGGGGGTCGGGCTCTGCTCCCAGGCAGCATGAGACAGGACAAGAGGACGTAGTCTCAAGCTGCAGCGGAGGGGGTTTAGGTTGGACATCAAGAAGAAATTCTTCACATAAAGGGTGATTCGATATTGGAACGGGCTGCCCGGAGAGATGATGAAAGACTGGGTGTGACGCTTAGTGCTCTGGTCTGGTTGACATGCTGGTGTTCAGTCAGGTTGGACTTGACGATCTCAGAGGTCTTTTCCAACCAAAATGATTCTGTGATTATATGATTAGCAAATGGAAAAAAAACCCAAACAAACCACTAAAAGCAAGAAAGGACGCCTGGGCTGATGAGGTGCAGGATAGCAGCAGCCCACAGCACATGCCACCTCACAGCCAGGATGGCAGCCCTCACCTGCCCTTAAACAGGCTTCACAAAAACCTTGTACCATACTTACTGCTCACCATGCTTCATATTCTCTCAAATCAGAGCTAAAATTGTCCAAATTAGTGCAGTTAATGCCACAGTTTGGTTTTCGCCAGGCTGCAATACCTGTCAGGTGCAGCTAACGGCATTGATGCTTTTGTCTGGTAGTCTCATGGTTCGTGCAGTGAGCTGTGAACCAGCATAAATCCATGTCCTCATGGATTTGCAAACTTATTTATGAGGCCACTAATTTGCAAGTACTTGAATGTTCAAGGCTTAGCCCTTAAAATCCTTTTTTTTTTCTTATTATAGGACCACTACTAGGCCTCTTTTCAGAACATTTCAATGTTTTAGGGAAGTAAGCAAGATTAAGATTGCACAAAGAGCAAGTTCTGAGACAGATCTAAAATACACATTACATGGAAGAGGAAGCCAGGAGTACAACTGGTATTCCACTAGTATTTGTAAAAAATGTGGTATTAAATGATTCCTCTCAGTTCAAGTGTAATAGTACCTCTCCATCACAGTCTGACCCGCTTACTCTGCCATCTGGGAGCAGGACCTTGAGATGGCCAAGTAGCTAACTTTAGGAAAATAAACTTTCTATGATTCTTTCCAACCTGTGTTATTGCCAGTCACCTTCCTAGTGTTATGTGACCTCTTCCTGATTTCCCATGCTGGTTTTGCCTTCCAAGTCCACTCACGTTCTTTTCTCATCACAGTACCCAGGACAAACAGGATTTCACATGCCACCCATGTTTTTTCAGTTTTCTTTCAAGTTTACTCATCTACACAGCCTCCAGCTTGCCTTTATTCCCATTGGTAATAAGTTCTGTGTGAGGACAGAAAGATGAGAAGGGAAAACACGTAGACTGGGAGGCAGAAGAAAGATCAGTGGATAGATAATGCACAAGGGGCAGAATCCAACAAGTTAAATGACCCAGAAAAAACAGGAGGGAGGTTCCTCCTTGCTCCACCGAGCCCCACCCTGGAACTTCTCATAAACTAAATAAACCACAGTGAACTATTCAAAAGGCAAATGTTTATTAGGTACACTGAACTTTAAAAAACTTTCAAAGAATTATGCAAGAAATATATTTAAATATAACAGGTGTTATTGCAATTGTGCTACATAACAAAATCACTTTTCTACTGTCAGCACAATCTGAAGACCTCAATGTTATATGCAAGACACGTTACATTGACTCTGGCACACAGTAAGTGGTCTGAGCTTTCCTGTTCAATCACTTGTGCTGCACCAGGCTGTTCTCCAGGACAAGATCAGCTCTTCGTGGAACTACGGCTTTTATGTTTCAGTAAATAAAGGAACTGGCAAGGAATAACCCAAACTGCTGTTTTCCTCAGCAAAAAAGGAAAATCAAAACATGATTTCAGGCGAAGATACAGTATCATATGAGTAACAGTTCAGGAGGTAAACTCTCCTTCCATGGCCAAGTAGCTCCTATTAATCCGACTCCAAATTGCTACAGGTGCACCAAAGGAGAATGACTCATAGGTCCAGCATTTACATAGATGAAATTAGTAATAGTACATTACATTCAAGTCTCTTGATTTGCTTATTGCCATGCTGCACCACATTATTGCTTCATATTTTGTATCTTGAACAAGAGGTTGATGACTTCAGAGAGTTCAGAAATATCATAGAGGCTACTGACTAAAACAAGAAACTGTACATATTAAGGTCAGGAAGTCAAAGACTAACCTCAGTCCTTTGTCACTGAGGTGTGCTGGAAACAAAAAATAGAAAAAAACAAATACTGATTTCCCTAGATTATATCTGCCATAGCACTGTATAAATGGAAGCACTCTAGGCATATCCTAAACAAGAAGTGTAACTATTTTAATTAAAATGAATGGCAACATTTATTTCTCTTAGAGGGACATCAACAGTCCAGACAGTAAGACCAATCCTAATAAAGGTACAAATAGGGAGAAGTAATCCAAGCTCTTTTTCACAATAGATAAAAATATAGGTGAATTTAAGGCACAGGTCTTTTCAAAATTAACATACATTCTTTTCTTCAAAGCTAAGCATACAAAGTAAGCTATAATTACATTATTAACAAGCTGTACACAGGGGCTTTATGTGCCTCACTTATAACAGCACTATCAGAAAATGATCAGAGAATTATTCACACGCAGATGTTCACACACAAACGTGAGCGTAGACTGGATCCCTACAGTAGAAAAAAGAAATGCTCCTGTAATAGTTTACAGTTCTCAGACAGTAACACTACCAAGGCTGTATACTTTGATGAACTTGGGTAACGTTAGTTAGGGAGGAGAGCAAAGGCAGCGTGCAGAGAACACGAGTCACTTCCTGTCTGGGGGTGGTAGGAGCCTGTTGTGTGGCAACGCTCAGTAGCACTGACATGGTCATGATGAACTGACAGCCACATCCCTTTTTTATTAATGCTATCTGAAATAATTCCATACTGAGGAAACTTGTGTGCCAAACATACTAAAAAAAAATTTAAAAATCACTGCTTGGCTCCCAACCAGACAGCAAATTTCTGCTTAGAAATCTCATCTTACCATTTAGACTCCTTTTCTGAGTATACGTTGCTCAGATTTTTTTAGCCAGGCACAACAAACCTTTTCATTTGTACTTTCTTGTGTGCGTGCGACTACATCCAGATGAAAATATTCATTGTGCCTCACAGTGATCACGTCTTCTGAGTTTCTTAATGCTCTTGGATTGGTTTTTGCCATCTTCTGTGGAAGGAATAAACCCCACATCTACTTGCCTAGTTGGGCAATTCAGAAAGCTGATCCTTTGGCTTTTCTGAGCTCTGCCACTGGCAGAGCATAATCGTATCTGCACATCTATTGCTCCAGCTGAGTTCACTGAATGGAGACACAAAATATTTTTACCACCTGAGTTTCTGCATCTGGAATTGCAAACTTGTGAGCATCCAGAACACCTTGGTTTCAGCAAGCCCAGCCACATGTACAAACCCCTCCTGCCACCTCTCCGCTCCAGCGAGTTCCTCTTGTCTCGTCTCTTTGGAGCTGGACAAAGCTCACGGCTCTGCCCCATCGGCCTCGGGCAGGAGGGGAACCTGAAGTCACAGGCAGTGAGCAGGTCTCCTGCTTCTCCTTCTGTCCTTACAGCTCAAGTAAAGAAAAACCAAGATAAACTGAGTATTTCCCTAAGATAATGTGGTGAACTCAACTATTCTGAGGAAGAAGCTGGAACAGACAGCGGTGTCCTTACTCTCAAGCTTCCTCTAAACCTCTGTCAAAGTGAGCATTTCCTCTTCCTACATCATGAGCCTCTCTCAAAAATTTGCAGTATTAAAAATATCATTTAAAAAGCTTCAGTAAATTATGATAAGGGTCCATATCAAGATGATCTGCATTAACATCTCTGCTTCAGAGAGTACCACAAAGCAATCTTTGATGAGAACTGCATTGGTGCAAATTAAAAAGTGCTCAATCTGGACCCCTTGGTGCTGGAGTGGAAAGCACAGTGCCCAATTCCCAAAATGCAGGCACACAGTATAAAATGACTCATCTGATGGAAGAGATTCCACAAATTATGCCTACTTAAGCATTATCAAGGAGGGAGCCTACAAGTACAACTAACATGATTCCCAGGAACTGTTCCGTGCTTGATGGCTGTAAAAGGGGGAAATGCTTCAGCTCAAAGCAGAAGGCTGGAGGCTGCTCTGTACTGCAGTACTGAAATTGGTGATTCAGAACCTTCCAGAACCCCGGCTGTGAGGAAGCATCAACTTTCTTTTCAATTAACATCACATTACTAAGAACAGAACTGGACATCAAAATGGAGAAGAAAAATATTTACTCATTCCTGTTTAGTGAAGACAATGCTTAAAAATTATTTTTTAGGTGTTACTTGGAGATACTTGGGCCCTCTTCCCATGTGTGGTTGGACTGAAGTTACATCTTTGTGCAGGTGCTCTAGAGCTACCAAACCTGTCACCATTTATGATGGTGATTATTTTGATTAGAGTACATGGCTTTAATAATTTTCTTCCCTAGCTGAGACAAACCCCTTCCACCTTCCCAGCTTCCTGCTCAAGCCCATAAACTACAAGCAGCTAAATATGCATAATAGTGACAGTTTAAATCTTGGAATTCATTTATACCTAAGTGAAATGCATTGGAGAACAGGTGGCTCAGGAATGCAACTTCCAAATTAATGCACCCTTCTAGAAAAATGGTTCATTTTCATTAAACCAAAGTTGAATCATTCCTTTTCTAGCACATCTAAGAATAATTGTTGTAACAGAGCAGGCCATAAGTGAAAATTATTTACTGAGTTAACAAGCAAGAAGAAAATCTCACTGCCTGTTGTAAGGAAATCATTGCATAAGTAACTGCCATTAAGCAATGCTCCACATCTGTAACTGCTCAGCACTGAATACAGGTTGTCAGGAATTGTAAGCAGAAGTTTTCTTCTGCATCTACATTTCTGCATTTACTGTTCATTAAACACTGTCATTTTCAAAATAATAGGTAACAGTAACAGTACATAAATTGTTAGAAAAGACAACTAAACTATAAAATGCATCTTCAAAACCATAGAAAGCAGTATCTTGTTATTTACAGAGTAGTGCAGTATTATAAACACAGATTAAATGACACTGTTCTACACCTACAGAATAAGGACTGTTAAAAAACAGTTTAGCATGACAATCAACATTACAAGTCTGAATACAAACAGGAAGAAATCAAAGGAGAGTATTTTTCAAATTGCATCTCTAATTAAGTGCTCCTAGAATTTTTGACATTTTCATTTAAAATGATGGCACAAGCTATATACACTGTTAGTATATAGTATGAGTTACTGGGCAATTACCATCGCAATCAACAGACCTTATTCACAGGTACTGAAATTGCTTTTTCAAAGTATAACTTGGTGAGCAGAAACAGAAGGAATTTAGAAAAGGATTAATTTATCTGACTCATTTGTCTTGCATTACCGAGGGACTTTCTTCTTAGGGCAATGTGGATGTACCTGCTCAGGAACTGACTTCCTGATCAATCACTGATATGCAGAGATTTGTATTCTATCAGTATTCTTATTCAGCATATACAAAGCAGTGTTTGGTTTCAGCCAGAAACTGAAATTTGTGTCCTTTCCTGAGGTTACAAGGCAATGCATCCCAAAGTGCAGCTCCCAGTGCTCTTTAAAAGTCATGACCATGTTACCGAAAACGGTGACTCCCAGTTTGGCACAGCTTCACTGAGGGTCAGAATTTCCATCTCATGAAGAAATACTCTGGGAAAACACATGAGGAAAGTCCAGTGGAACAAACAACGTTCCAGATATGGTGCTTATTTTCACCCTCCGAGCAATCACAGAGACCAGAATCCTGAGGCCAGGGCTGGCTCTGCAGAGATTTTATGGTTTTTCTTCTGCCCTGGCACTGACCAACTTCCTTACTGGCTGCTGTCCTCAGAATTCCTTTAAAAGGCAGTTCCTGAGGTTTTTGGTGATTAACAGGAAATTGGTACAGACAATCCTATTCATTTTCCAACTCTTAAGTGCTATTTCAGTTTTTATGAACTCTGTGCCTCAACTGTACAACTGCGCACTGGAAATAAAGAGACCTAGAACAGAAATCTAGAGAAGACTTAAAAAAAAATACCTTTACTGAAAAAAAACCTAAAAAATGGTGGTGTGTGTCAAAATACAGGCGCTTCCTTGGCTTCAAAATTATCCAAAGTATGTCATATGGGAGTCACCTCATATGGCTACATGGACAGGTCCACAGATATTTTTCTGGTGACAGTAGGGACCTTCCCAGAGCTTCTTTATCTGTGGTGAAACAGTTTATATGGTAGTTTAACTGTACTGAGTGATTGTCTGAAGAAAGGCCAAGAAATACTTGGTGGATACTCTGCCATCTCTGCAGATGAGACATCCAAAAAAACAATTTATAAGCTGTAGGGCACAACCCAAGTCCTAACTCTATCCTCAGGTAATTTATAATGTGATTCAGGTAAGTGGAAGAATCCAGAGTCCATCATCTTTTATTTCTTTAATAGAGATACTTCGCAGTGAGCAAAGAGAGAACCCAGTAACCTTCAGCCTTCAGCCATACTGCTCACAAAGGTAAAAACTGGGACTCAAAATTTGCTTCACAGACACATGGCCTACACCCCCCTGGTTTTCCATGTCATGTAGCCTTGTACTTCTGATGGACATCTATCAACACTATGAATAAGGTCCACAGGGTTAAGGTACCTGTCATGCAGTGTGTTGTGGTGGCTCACAAAACAACCAGTTTCTCCTTCAGAAAAAAGCATTCCTCAAAGACTCTCCTATTTGTCCTATGTAGCTTGTTTTGTTGACGGTTTTTGGGGTTTTAATTCCAAACCATGCATGATCTGACATTGAATCTGCTCGGTTAAGCCAAGTAATCTGCCTGCAGGAATGCTGCCTACGAACTACAATTATTTAAACTTTTTAAATTATAAATAATTATCTTAGATGATTCTTTGGGATCAAAGAATCTATTTTTCCCATTAGCAGAACTGGAAACACCTTGCAGATATTGCTTCTTAGGACAGAGGCACAAAAGCTTGTGAAGGCACTTTCCCCAAAAAGCTTCCAAGATTTTAATTACTAATCACACATAGGGCAAATTTGCTGACCACTAGTACAACATACTGTTACTGCTCTTGTATCAGAGTCCACAGCAGATAGAAATGAACTCTGGTTACTGGGTAGGTTTGGAGACTTGTTTTGTCAGTTAAATGAACCCTTTTTCTAAAGGCACAGGATATAATTTTCATACGACACTTAGGCAGGGAATTCCCACTTCAGGAATCTTTAAAAAGCCTGTCTTGCAGCAGACCACTGGATTCATTCATGCAGTTTTCTTCTTTTTTCAGGAAAAAAAAAATTACAGTTTAAAGCCTTTTTCATTATATCTATGAATGGTCACACAGCCATGATACGATACTGGCCTGGGCATGGCTGCTACTCCTGTGATAATGCCCGTTGCAGGGTCATAACAAAGAATAGTGTCTGTGGCTTCACCATTTTCCCGTCTTCCACCAAGGATATAGATTTTTCCATTACACACAGACATGCCACAATTCTCCTGTTTCAAAGAAACACAAAGGAATACATGATTATCTAAAAAGCAAGACCTTGATTCATGCATATCTGCTCCAGTGCAGGAGGGCAGCACTGATTCCTGTTTGTAAACAGGCTTATACTATTTCCTCCTGAAAGGGCCAATGCAGAAAGGACAATAATTAGAGAAAGCAACAGCACAATCCTACAAAAAAGACTAGTTCAGGTCTAAGCCTTCACTACATAGCTCATACAAGGGATACAATGGAATTCAGCTGAACACTGTACTTACCATTTAAAGATCTGAGATAGGGAAAGGAGGAGAGAACAAAGGTTTTCAGAAGAGGGACCACAGTAGGTACTATTTATGCAAAAAACGGGAACAAGGAGAAGCATCTTAGAGGAGTAACAGATAATGAAGAGGGATGTAAATGGGGAGAGGAAAAAAAGGCATGACTAAAAGGAGTGCATAAGAGAAGACTGTGCTATGTCTTACTTGAAACACCAATAGGATTTTATTTCTTCCTTAAAAGCAGGCATGGAAAAAATATTCAATTAAATAGAGAACTCAGATCAAAACAGAGGAACAGAGGGAAGGCCAGGAAAAAGAATGAAGTTCTGTTAAGGTAATACCACAGTAATAACATCAGGAAATGTAACTGATACCTGTATACTTTGCTACAAGGTTAAATTCTTGTCCCTATGTGGCAGTGACAGAGCCCTCACTACTCAAGTCAGAAATTTTCTGTGCTATACAAAGGGGCTTTTTCACACTGTAAAAACAGCCTTCAATATTTGTAGTTACACTGAAAGGCTTTAATCAATTACAAGGAAATTACTATCTTCAATCTAAATCAAAACATGCAGCAGAACCTGACAGAGTTAATTTCTATACAACTAAAAATTCATCCATTATACTGTTACCCTCTTCTCCAACAGTAACAGCTCCCAAAGTTTGGACTAGCTAATAGTGATGACCAGCTGAAAAGCTACTGGTATAGAAAATTCTTCTGTGAGGTTTTGAATTACACAGAAGAAGTAAAGCAAGAAAGGAATCAGAAATGCAACTGTATCAGAGTTAAACAAGTGCATACTCATTTCATGCCAAGATGATAATCTCAAAAACTACGTTTCAGCTGTGTGCAGGTCTTCTACTGTTAATTACCTGTCTGCTGAACGTGTTCTGTACATGCATCCAGTAGTCCTCAATGGGATCATAGCAGTAGATGGCTTTGGTGAGCCCACCAGCAACGTAGATCAGGTTGTTTAAGGACACGGCCGTGATACATCTCTTGGCGATGGGGATCGTTGCACGGAGCAACCAAGAATTGGTGTCAGGATCGTAAGACTGAACCTGAAAACAAATACAAGCCTTTCACATTAACAGCCTAACTGAAGTAACAGCCTGGCATGCCCACACAGGTTATACAAGGAGAGACAAAGAAGCAGTGCCTGGTGGGCAATACCTCACCCAGAAAACGAAGTCAATATAAATATAGGTCCATATATCAATGTCTAAACACGCACTTGTATTTGACATTATTTTCTGAACACTCAGGTTTAAGAATTCACAGAACTTGTGAAGCCAGTGACAGTATCCATGAGAAACATCACAGGAACAGCATCTCCCTGAATTAACATTTTCTATTCCGTATTTTTTGTATTATAATAACACCATACTCCCTTCAGCAAAAACAGTTAAAGCGGACCTCTGCAGGATCTGGTTTTAACCCAGCAATGCTGTTGCCTGTGGGCAGAAGATGCAATACAACACAACTCACTGACCTTGTCAGAACAGGTGTTGTCATCAGGCCCACCCCCGATGACAAAGAGTTTGCCCACACAGCTGGTCACAGCCGGGGAGCTCACGGCCTCTTTCAGGGGAGCCACCTCTGTCCAGCGGTTGGAGAAGGAGTCGTAACACTCCACACTGCTGAGCCGGTTCTGCCCGTCATAGCCCCCAACCACGTACACCTGTGCACAGGGGTGAAAACTGCCATTATTTCTTGGGTAGAGTAAGGGTTACATTTAAATATGAAATTAAATTAATTTAAAGCTAATTTGCTAGGTATGCGAAGGGATACTTTTCTCAGATTTTTAATATATACACAGGAGAAGAAGAATGCAGCCTAAAAACAAAGGGTAAAGACTTCCTGGAGAGTTCCATTCAGTCACATGTGGAATGACACTGCAAACACATGCCAAAGCATAGTATAATTAATACTACGATAGAAACTTCCTGTTTGAATGGCATTTGTTAGAAAAGGATTTCTCTGCATTTCTCTTTTTTTAGATGACATTCAGCAACAGCAGCAGCAAAAGTCCATCTGAGTTTACCTTTGCTTTTCGGTGTTCTGCTTTTCCCTACTTACTTACAGAAGTATTTCCTCATCTCAGTTTGTAAACTCTTCCCTGCCCCTTCTCTTATATTTAAGAAGCAGAACTCATTATTTATGTCCACTTGCTTCTGTTTGCTCAGCTGCAAGTTTCATCTCCACGAAGCCCAAGGGATACCACATGCACATCCTTCCTAAGTTTCACTAACAGAATCCCCACAGGCAGTTGATCCCATTTTATGTTCAGGCATATTCACCTTCAAAATACAGCAAATCCTCCTGTTTCCACACTGCATGTGTTCAGTTAATTTCAACATAAAACATTAAATAAAAGACATGACATTCAGAGCAGCACCAATTTCTGTTAATAACTGCAAAACTGTTAGACCTTTGACAGCACTTGTGAAGCACAGGATCATTCAGACGCTTATTTGCTTCCCAAAAATTTGCTTCTTGGGAATAAGACACTTCAATGATGAAAAAAAATGAATGACTGGGCAGTAAGATGATTTTCACGTCCAGGGGTAGTGTCTGACTGATAAAAAGTCTAATTGTTTGAAATATTAAAGTATTTTTTAAAGTATTTGATATGAAATACAAAGTAATACTAAAGTGTTTTCTCTACTGCTTTCTTATCTACATGAAAACATCCCGACTATAAAAACAATTAAAATATACTTCTCTTACTTTACCAAGAAGAACAGCCATTTTATGTCTCCATCTGCCTTTATTTAAGGAAGCAACTCTGATCCAAATGTTAAGTTGAGAGTTATAAATCCAGACATCCCGGCTATTGATTCTTCCACCTTTAAAAACAGAAATATGCCAATTTGAATACTTATTGTATGGGAAATGCTATTAACATGCCCCTCTACAGGGAGCAATGAAAACTTTGTATCACTTTTTGGGTGATATAAGGATCTATCAGTACCTATAAGTTAGACTGAAAAAGTAATTTCCAGTGGACTTCAAACACAAAAGCACACAGTGAGTTATATTCCTTATGTTTGCCTTCCTCACTGACATGCTGAGATCACATTAGATTATTTCTTGAATGCACGTGAATGGCTTTTGCCCATGCTCTGAATTCAGATTTCCTGTAGTGTCACTGCCTGGATGAGACACCCAAAGACTTATCCCCTGAAGTGCCCTATGGCACATCCCCAACACCCGCTGTTCCTCTGTCCTGTCTGTGCACATCTCCTTTGTTTTACACTCTGTTCAAATGACACAGGTACTACACACCCGAGGAAACAACTTCTTCGCCTGAACTAACTCACAGATCGTGGTGGCTAAACCATCAGCTGCACCCTGGAATTTTCCCTTGCTAAAGGACTGCTGGGAAAAGCCTGCTTGAGATTTTTTGCTTGTATTTTTCCCAGCTGTTGCTGCAAACAGTCTGCTGCTGTATTTTAAAGCAGTGTACTGCATGAGCTGGTCTCTTTAGATACAATTGATGTCCTGGAATCAGCTGTAAAAAACTGCAGAGTCATGCCAAACAAAAACTCCAGAAAACACTTTTGTTTACAGTAAGATTGTGCTGGGGCTGGTTTTCACCATTTACATCAGAAAATGACTTTCAGCCGAGCTTCTGGAAGTTCACAGTACAAAGATCTGCCACACTACTTAAAAAAATCCCAAACAACAAACAAGAAAACAATCCCCAATCAATCATAGAATCATAGAACGGCTTGGGTTGGAAGGGACCTTAAAGATCATCTAGTAATGAAAAACAATCAACCAAGAAAAAAAAGAAATCTTAAACTTTTTAGGATTGTTCACCTGAAACAAGAATATCATTCCGTAGAGCACACACGGCATACTCGGACTTGGTAAACTCTGGAAGTTTAGCCAGTGATTTCCACTCTCCTGTTACGGGATCATAGCACTCCGTGTACGGCAAATTAAACCCTCCAACTCGTTCACAGCCTCCAACAACAACTATCACCTCAGAATAACCAGTTGATCTAAAAAAGAGAACACATAAAACTAAGATGTAGGAGATATTTATTAGCACATAGAGGCCAAACAACATCGTCTTCAAAACTGTGTGAAAATCAAAAAATTTACTATTTAGTGTTAACTTCTACAGCAAAGAAAAAAAGAAGAGTAATTTAGCAAACAGAGGTTTCACTGTTTCCAGCTGTGTCGTTACACAGCAGGTGTCACTGACAGGTGCCCAGAGTAAGTGGTGGAGTTCCACTGCACAACGTTATATGTAAAAACTGAATAATTAAATAACACAGAAAGCCCTTACTTTAATAGTATTTTTACTTTGTGTACATAGAGAGATCAGAAACCAAGTTCAAGCAGGACCTGTTTCACAATGAAACCAGTCCTGACGTTCCCCCCGAGTTTTACAAAATCAATACTACTTTACTTTGCTTAAATATCCAAAAAGTTTAAAAGCTGAAGGAATATAGTCACCAAAATAAGAGAAAAGAAAGTGGCCTTAAAGCCAATGCAAAGTAAAGCAAAAAACAAGAGTAGTGACAGGAGGAAACATTAAGGAATGCTGAAATAAAAATTCAAGCCTAAACCAAAAATTAAAACTCAGTGTGAAAAAAAATTAAGCATTAGCCAGTCTGCAATGTACACAAGTAGGCCTTTAAATTCTATTCCACACATTCATTTTCCTTCTACTAACCAAATGTTTTTGTATTATACATATTCTACATTCACAGCAATAACAAAACCTCTTATTTATTAATTCACATTTGAATGTAGAGACTCAACCATCTTTGATGTGCAAATCGAACCGTGAGCACCTTTTATTCCTCCTCTCAAATTTCTAATTTCTTGTCAGCATTTGTCAAACTCCTTTCTTTTCAGGGCATTTTTAGATTAAAGCATTTTGCACTGACATATTTATTTCAAGGACTGCTGTCAATTAAGTAAAACTGAATGCAAGATTCATTTTATTTTTGATAAGCCTTTTTGTCGTGTCGAGCTTTGTACAATGATCCCAATGTGAACAGACATCTCACAGAACAGACAGTAATACCATTGCTGAGTACTGCAGTCTTCTCTCAAAAACAACAGACTCAGAACTGCCTTTGAGGTAAAAATTGCATTATATCCCCCTAAAGATCCTACTATAAACTTATGAACATATTCACCTATAAATCCTGATGAAGTTTTCCCCGTTTTGAAACACCAGAAACAAAACTAGTTAGCCCTTTTATCTCCTTGTCACCACAGGCTGTAATTTATACCATACATCTTTCTACTGAGAATATCGTCCATAGGAAAAGGCAGTGCTAAATGGTAACATCCTACAAGATGGTACAAATGAGATGTGTCTGAGGAGTGGCACTTACGCACCTGAACCAGGCAGAAGAAACTCTCGGCAGCTGCTCAGCTTTGAAGTCAGGCTCGTTCCTGGTTTCTATGTATTTACTGTTACCGGTTTTTGCTTTTTTGAGGAACAACTCTGAAAAGAATCTCTCAAAGGATAAGAGAGGGGAAGTTCCTGTGCCAGCAAAGCATTACTGAGGAAAAGAACTTCCGTAAAAGCAAGACACTCAACTCGTAGTTTGCCACAGAAGCAAGTCCAGATACACCAGCTAATTGTGGGTACAAAGAGGTTTGCCTGAGGATTACTTTCTAGATTAGAATCAAGGCCTCCACTCACATACTGAAAAGCTTAGTGTATTTTAAAAATAAATGAACCAAAAATCTTTGCCCAGAGAGCGCTCTTTATGAATTGTTATGATGAAATCTTTCTCTGTAAAGAAAATATTCATTTAGCACAGTATTTCAAACCTACAGAAAACAAAAAAATTTCCCAACATTTTAGTACCTGTATGACCATATTTTTTCTTCAGTTAAGAAACATTTCCTCCATTACATTTTCTTGGAAGAGTCATGCACTGTATATATTTTATGGTTAGTTCCTAAAATTTCTTTTGCAAATGACAAAGAGCACGTTACTTTAACAAAAAAAAAGTAAAACTGTGGTGGAATTACACAAAACCAACATACAGGCAAAGGCTAATTCCAGAAAAGAACTAAGGATATATTTGAGTGGAGGTTAGAAAAACCTGTGACCTCAACCAGTAGCACAGGAAGCCCTCCTTGTAGCCCTCAGAAGAAACAGTGTGAGCAAAATAACAGAGGTGTTAAAACAGGCAGTAGAGATTCCAGGAGGCACTGTCCCACCAGGAAGAGGTGCATAAAACAGAAAAGGGGGGGATGGAATACGACCAGCAGTGCCATGTAATTCCGTGCATTCCCAAGAGCAGGTTCCCTGGGGGTCCCAAGTTACACAAGGCGAGAACACCAACCCGCACAGCAAGAGCTGGGCAGAACTCCCGTAGTTCAAAGAGATTACATTCAAAATCATGGGAAGTTTGGAAAACAAATTACAGAAAGTCTGGTAAATCACTACTTTTTTCTTCCCCGGTGTTAAATCACTTTTGGGTAGTAAATGAAATAGCAGACAATATGTGAAGTGAAATAGAAACCCACGTCTCCTTGGGGGAAAATGAGGGACTACATTAAAGCTTTCTAAAGGCAACCAGAAAGGATGTGTTAAAATGTATAAACGCAACACTTCCAGTTAAAGAGAACACTCACGGGATGGTAACTAGGCAGGCTAAAAGAAGCTTTGATGGAAAAACTCAGAGGTAGATGAAAATCTGAAGACAACTCAAATCACACAGTAGGAAGAGCCTATGCTGCCTTTTGTATGGAAATGTGTTACTGCTCACTGCCTGGTCTCAGCTTGGAGATTTGCTGTGCAACACAACCAGAGGGGACAGGAGAGACTCCAAAGGAGCAGGAAAGACAGCCTCAAGATGTCACTAGTCCATAACTGAAAAGCTCTTTCAGAAAGACCTCACTTGTCAATGATGCCTTAGTGGCAAAGAGCAACGGTTATGCCATACTTTAACTTCAATTCCCTTCAGGTAACTCTTCACTGGCTTCAAAAAGAAAAAAAAAAAATCAACTTGTTTAAAAAAACAAGTCGAACTCACTTCACCCATAAGTGCATCCAAGCAATCACTATTTATTTCCCAAAGTTTCAACAAAAACACTGGTGTGGGAATTTCTTGTCCTGCAGCCTGTCTCCTTTTGGAAACAGTTTATATAGAAAAGAAATTGGAGGAAGGCAAGAAAGAAGGAAAACAGCTCTCCAGCAACCTGTCCTCTCCTCCCAACCCCCTGCCGAAATGCCCAGAAAAGGTGTGGTGAAAACACAGGAGAAGGGGGACCTGGCAACTGTTTTAAAATATGATCTCTTTTTGCTATAGGCAACAGAAACAAACAGGCAACAGAAACAAATGACAAAGAACTATTCCACGAATGTAATATAGAAAAGGGGAAAAAATTCCTGCTGGGAGGCCAGCCAGTTTTCCTCTTTGTAAATTACTTCTCTTGTTCCTGCCTACTTGAATTCCCAGTGCAGTTTAACAAGCTCAGCAGTAAAACCAACAAAACCCCCTGGCTTCAGAAATCACCTGTATTAGGCAGGGTACTTCATGTGCAAACTGGAGCACAACACTGAGGCTGCTCAAATTCTCAAGCACATACACACCACGCACTGGCAAAACTGCTGGGTCTGAGTGTATTTGCCTTCTTTAGCTAACTGAGTAATAGACACAGAATAAACATCACACCAAATACACTGCACACTGTCAGAATTCCCATGGTCCCTCCCTCAGGCTTGGACTCAGAAACAACGATTGCACCAGTTTCCAAACTGCCATGACCCAAACACTTCCAAAGACCCTCCACCACAGCACCGTGCAGCTTAGAAAATCTGGCAGCTTCGCTGCAAGGAGTTCAAGAGCTTCTTCTCTCATGGCAGGACTGAAGACTGGAAAGCCACTAATGGGGCAAACATTGCCAAGTATTCTTTTTCCCTCTTAAGGAAGCCTTTAACTGCTGCCAGAAAAATAAAGGTTCCCTGAACAGTCACTGTAAAGCAACCACATATGAGTAAGAGCAAGCAAAGAGGAGTAACTCCTAACACAATCTGTCTCGACCAGGTCATTGCATCACCTTAATGCAACATATGATTTTATAAATACAGCTTAAATCAGGTGGAGTTAACAATAAACTATTGTGTCAACTATCGTTGACATGAGGCTGGGAGAATATTTTTCAGGAAAAAAAGAATCATAACCACCATTGCTCATAAATGCCACTAATGGATTCTTCCTCATTTCTTTTTGCAACCTCAGTCACCTATTTGTGTAACGCATTATTAAGTGGTAGCAATTCTGAATTATTAAAATGTCACAGAATAAACACAAAATACTTCAGGAACTGTTTCATAATTCTTTAAAAATTACAATATTTGGTTTCTTTACAGTTAAGAACCTGTTCTGCTGTCTATTACGAATACATGTACTACTCCATCTGTAAAGTATTTGTGATGCAGCAAGGAAATGCTCTGAATACATAATATCCCCATCCACATCCTTTGTGGTGTGCTGGACACTTACATGACTTTGTTACAAAAAGAAAGGTTGGGAAATGCAATGGTGTACTTGCCACAGCACATGAAGTTCTCTTCAAGACACTGCTATTGTATGAAATACTTTAAGGTCTCCCCTAGCAAACATTAAACTTAAGGAAGTGTTTTACTTGCAAGGTAATATAACTTTACTTACCTGAAGAGTCGTTTATTTCATAGCAATAAAGTGATCTGTGCAGAAAGACTCACTTAACTCACATTTTCAAGACACCTGTGAGCTTCATGGCTTGTGGGGAAGTACTGAAGAGTAAGTGTAGCAGCTCCAGAATGCAAAGCAAAATAATCTGCAAGAGATTTTTCTCTGGGCATATGTATATCAAACATCTGTGCAACAAACTATGTCCTTCTCCTACAGAAAAAAAGAAAAAAAAAAATTCCTCACCTGCGTGGTCTAGTTCTGGGAGACATCATCTCGTTTCCAAGGATATGGTATCGTCTGGCTTCATGCAGGAGCTGATAGCACTCTGGGGAATTCTGGATCAGCTGGTCCACCTCCACAGTCTGAACGAAGTAGTTGGGGTGCAGGAGCGGGAGCCTGACGTGTGTCAGCAGTTCGTGGAGCACCGGCCGGCGCAGCTCCACGGCGCGGTACACCCAGCGCATCACGGCCTCGAACACCATCTCCTCCTTGCTGATCACCAGCTCGTCGCTGCAGATGTAATCAATGAGCTCATCCTTCCCCAGCTCCAAGAACTCTTCATGCTGGGACACATCCTCAAATGTCTGCAGCGCAAAATTCCTGCACTTGGTGAACAGTGTCTTGAGCGAGTGCGTATCTGCGAAGCGCTGGATTCCCAGGCAGTTGCAAGGATCCAGTTGCTCTTCCAGGAACTTGGCGCAGGCGTCACGCAAGACACTGATCTGAAAGAGACTCGATGTTTCAAAGAGATACTGCACGTTCTCTGTGGTGATTTTCACCTTGCCCGTGTACACGTACTGCAGAAAGCAATCCATGGCCTCGGCGAAGATGCCGTTGATCTCCACCAGCATCTCCCGGCTCTCCCGGTGGTCGTTGCAGAACATGGCTCTGAAGTAGCTGCTGCAGGCCGAGAGCACGGCGCGGTGGCAGGGGAACTCCCGGCCCTCCACGCAGATGATCACGTCTGTGAACAGCCGGCTGTCCCGGAACTCATTGAAGATCTGCAGGATGCTTTCCGCGTGGGATGATCCCGAGGAGAAGTCGAAAAACTCAGGGCCTGACAATGACTTTGGGTCCATTTCAAAAACTTTCCGCTTGGTTGCAGGGGAGTCTCGTATCCCACTCTCCTCTCTATTCAGTCTGCGTCCCAATATTAGTACCATTGTTACATCAGTTGGCTATAGAGTCATTGAGAAAAATTTGCAGAGTTTCTCCTTCTCAGTGCTACGGTCTGAAAAATTAAAACACTTCAGTTTTCAGTCTGGCACAACCTCAGCTTCATCACAAGAATCAGACAAGATACTTGTTTGGTCACTCTAAGAACTGGAGCAATTGTTGACCCTTCCTTGAGGTGACACAATATTACAGGGCAAAGTACCACACACCCTGCACAGGGCAGTGCAGCACTATCTGCCACACTTTAATTACAAAATATACCCAGAAAACAAGTGTCCTAGATGGCAAGTTCTGCATGTCCCAGCACCACTGGCATTGCATTAATGTTCAAGACAAAACCCTCAAGATCTCAGCTCTAGCAAATCACCTGACTAGGCAGAAGCCAAAGATTTCCTGGATAAAAATCCAGAGCCTGGACTTTTCACTTTTTTCAGAGTAATCCTCATTTCAGCTGGAGCCTCTGAGTGCTACTCTAACAGCACTAGCCAAAAAAGGTGTGTGGGGGAAGACTGAAATTCTAAAAATGAAAGTTCAGCTGAGAAATCACCCCATTTTCATTATAAAGTCTATCATAATGAAGTCTTATAATACACATGTTTAATGTCATTCTGTGATCTCAACAAACAACCTTGGCCATAAGTTTTTACCTGTTCATTCCTAACATCTAAAAATTAGTTCACTGATAATCTACAATTCAATTGCAAAAGAACGTAAACTGCTAGAACACAACACAGAATGAAGAATAAACTACATGTAAAACTACTGGAAATAAGAACCAAGGGGCAACTTGCTGAGAACATGGATATTTTGTTTCCACAGTACTACTAGAAAATAACTACTAGCAAAACTTTTTGCTGAAACACCTTCCAGTTTCAAGTACAAGTGTAAACGTTCCCCCCAATGTGCAAACACAGACTCACATTATCAGAGCACTGAGGTTACAAAAATCAAACACTCAAATGTTAGCATATGCCAGTAAGTTTCTGGGTGAAGAAAATGCAGCTGACTTTGCAGATAGTGCACGTTAGAGGCAGTGAGAACAACCAATCTAGCAGCAACAGGGCCTTTTGCCTCTGAGGAACTTAAAAAATACCTGGATAAATGGCCACCAAAACACATTTGAGGCAGCAAGAGGCAGGGCAAAACACCCTCTCAGACCTCACACTGGTACAATTCCGAATGCTTGTGATATGTCTGCAAGGACATGCACTGAATTATTTTAGAAGTTTTTTTAAAGGGATTTTCTTCTTTTTGTCTCCCAAAGGTTAAATTCAGTTTCCCTGAATACACAGCCAGGAAACTTCAACTCCTCACAGCAATTTCATTTCCTGATGTGCTTGCATCCTCAGAGCTGCAATTACCCAGTCCCAGACTGGCCACGTCATCACCTAATATAGAACACAATGAATGTGCTTTTTTTAAACAGCCTTTTTACATGGCACCTTTAAAAAGCACCATCTGAACAAACAGCAAGGAAAGAATGTGTGCTGTACCTTTACTCATTGAGAAAACAGGCTCTAAAAACTATCATTTTCCCTATAAAATTTTTTACACAAATTTACAAGGTAGATTCTTGGTATGGCTCATTCACCCTACAAAATTTTAATTTGACTTAAAATAGGGCCAGTTGTCGTTCTGATGCCCGAAAAACACTGTTGCAATGAGCCTATCTAATAACTGATTGCTTCAGAGAGACTTTAACGAGACATAAATAGACAGTCTGATCTGTAGCTGATACTCTATCCCATGTATTGCACAATGATTTTACTCAGTAGTGACGCAGGCTGGATACAAAACAAAACCAACCACCACCAGCAGCACCTCACCAGCAATGTTGCTAACACCCCTATCCCTTACACTGAATCTCATCTGCAACTAACTGCACACTACTAGCACAAGACAGTTGGCAGAAACAATGGATCAGCAGCAGAAAAGGGAAATATAACAATGAAAATATGAATATAAACCCTAAAGGCTTGATTCCAGCATCACAGATTTAAATCAGAAGAATTTCACAAAATGGAGCTTTCCCAAAGCAAGTTAGCCTGAAACCTCAAACAAGACCCTGACCCATTGCATGAAAGGGGAAAACACAGCAACTAAGTAACAAAACCTTCGAGATTAAATCTTTCGCATTATGTGAGAAGTTAAGACTTAAGACAGCACTGTATTATGCAATGGCTAATAAGGGGAAACAAGAGCTCTAGGTTAGGACTGCACATTGAAGGAACCAATGTCTTCTTTATGCTTGAACAACACAGAATTAGTGGTCAGCAAACAATTTATTTTTCTTAATGTCCCAATGGTTTAAAGAAATGGGGGAATAAAAAATAATCCATGGAATATAAACGAATCAAGGGGGTAAATATTGTACATTTACAAATAAGACACTAGAAAAGAAATCCAGTCCATTGCAGAACTTACTGCCTTTGAACGTACTATCCTTCAATCTCTGTGCAGCTAATCACTTCTGAGGTGGCTTCAGCAAAGCAATTTCACAGGCCTATCAGCAACAGTGTCACATGTTCAGCTCTATCACACATATGTGTGGCCTTCCTGCAAATCTTGCTCTGGCAGTTTTAAAGTGTCACCTTGCAGCTGCCTGCCCCAAACTGGGAAAGGCAGAGGGGAACCTGTGCCTGAGGTTGAGCTGGTTAGTGAGCAAAGGGCCAAATGAGGGGAGATATCCTTGTCTGCACCTTCCCTGTATACAGAGGTACCCTACCTGCCTACAGACTGCATTATAAAGCACCAATGATTTACAGAATTTAACACTTGGATCTCTTTAACAAGTTTAAACAAAACAAAAAACAAATGCATTTTTCCAAAAGGCAAGTACTGGGAATTATTAGATCAAAAAGAAAAAACAATGCAAAATGTATTGGATTGCTTGTCTGAACAAGGGTCAGCAAGGACAGACCTTAAGTCTGTTAAATCAGAGTCTGCCCATTCAAAAAACTGGAAAGCAAAACACAGATCACACTTCCAGTCAAGAGGTTTTAAAAATGCTTTACAAACACAGCCATGGCTCTAACACGGTTGCTACCTGCACATACACATATCTCTGAATTAAGCTGGGTTCACCAGAAGTTCAAGTTCCTTTATTTCTTTCACCTATACTGTCTGTAGGTCTTTCTGTACAAGATGTTCCTCAGAAACAGCCTAAGAGCCCCTTCAGAGGCTGGTAAAAGAGGTCTATAACATGTTTGCCCTGACACCTTCCAGCAGTAAATCCTCCTATGTAAATTACTTTCATGATGCACTAAACTCCTCCTTCCTCCACGAAACCTCCTCATGTATTTTACCCCTCTCCCTCACTGACAGCTCTGCCAACAGCTGGCAGCTGGTTCTGTCTTCCCTGTGTGTCACAGAGCTCCTTTGCCCCACCAGCAGAACTGACAGAAAGCAACAGAGGAAACACACGGTTGGGGCGAGGCCCTTTGGTAACACCTCATCATCAGCTGTGCCCGAGCCCTGCCCTCAAAGCTCACCCTCGGGGTGTAGTTTCGGCAGTACCTGAGGCTGAGCAGGGGTTGTGCTGCTGCCAGCGGAGGTGGCGTCCAGCCCGTGCCCACCGCTGCTCCCCTGGCGTGGCCGGACCGCTGACCGCCTGTGGAGGGAGAAAAGGAAGCGCTGGGAACTGCCCCGGGAAGGGCAGAGCCACCAGCGCAGCCCCAGTGCAGCCCTGCGGCCCTCCAGGGCACGGCTGGGGCCGCCAGACAGGCCGTGTCTGCTGCTCCCTGTGCCAGAGACAGCACCCCCGAGCTACCACAGCCAAATCCGCAAACACAAACGGTGTTTTCATTCCCAGGCACGGGACCTGCAACTCAGGTTTGGCCAATCCTAATTATTTCGTGATTTCAGGTAACACGATCTGCAGGCGTGCTTCATCTCAGATGGCTGGTTACCACAAGAGTCAGAGAAAACAAACTCCAAGTGTATCGACTGCAGCTCACTGGCTAAACCACAACACGTGCTCTTTTTGTTTTTAAAGGAAGAGAAGAAGAAGAAAAAAAAAAGAGTAACCTCTTCCTCCAGCAAAAAACAAACACATTTATTTTTGTCTTTGAGATACAGAAAAAGACCCCAAAGTTGTTAGTTTTAAAGCACTTTTTAAAAAAGAAAAATTATTCTTGTTTTACAGGAGAAATTGAGCATTTGCATATCTAAAATAAAAAGTCTTCAGGAATACCGAGTAACTAGCAAACAAAAATTCACAGTTATCAAACTGGTAAGGGATTAGCTGCACTGTAGAAATTTTTTATTGTAATGTAAGGTACTATTCTGATTCTAAAAAAGAATGTCAAAATTCAAGAGTAATCCAAGCTAATGACACACAAAACCAAGCCTTAAATGCCCTCTAAAGTCACCCAGCAAAAAAAACAGGAACTGATTTGGACATGAGAGTCATGATTATTAAGTAAAATCAGAACAAAAACATGTGGCGAAAAGGAACACCTTTAAACTGTGCAGAAATCTTCAGCTACCCTTCAGTAAGTGAAGTCCCTGAGAAAGGCACACACCCACTGGAGGGGGAAGAAAGGAGGGGAAAAAAGCACACTGCGTAGTATTGTTCATGTATGGGGAAGAAACCGTGAGACGTCACAATCCTTTCCCGATTTTGCTAAAACAAACTAAACCAGAAGCCGAGCCCCGGCCACGGCCCCATCCTGCTGGTGGGTTCATCCAGATGCCCTCACACCCGACCCTGGGCAGTGCCCGCCGGGCAGGAGCGCGGCCCGGGCACGGCTCATCCACGGGGCCAGGAGCGAGCAGGGAGCGCTGGAGAACGGACCTGTCCGCACACAGCCCGGGCGAGCTGCCGAGAGCACAGCTCGGCGCCGGGGCGTTCTAGCCGCTCCTGCAGGGAACAGCGCGGCCCCGAGCCCACTGAGGGACCCAGGGGCTGGAGGCGGCGGCACAAAATGGCTCCTCCCGTCCCGCCCTCCAGCTCACCTTCACCCCGGGCCGCCCGGCCCCGCCCTCCCGCGCTCCGGCCAATCGGCGGCCGCGGCCCCGCCTCCCCCCAACCGCCCGGCCAATCGGCGGCCGCGGGGGGCTCCGGGGAGACCCGCGTTACGAAACCTCGCGGGCGGCGCGGGGGCAGCGGCGACCCCCGCCCGCTCCGCCCGAGCGCCGGCACCGGATCGGGCCGGGCGGCACCGCAGCGCCCCGCCCGCCGGGCCCGCTGCGCGTACGGGGCAACAACCACAGCACACGCACAGGGCATACACACAGCCGCCGTCCCGGCGCACCCGCGCTGCCAACATCCCTTCCCCGCCGTGCCACCGCCGCCCCGCGCTGCCCGCAGAGCCGCGGACGCGCTGCCCCCGCCGCGGCGATAACGGTGCCGTCCGGCCCCGCGCCCCGGCTGTCCCGCAGCAGCCCCCGCGCCCTCCCCGGGGGCTCCCGGGACCGCCGCCCGAGCCCCGCGCCCCCGTCGCGGCCCCGCACTCACAGCCGGGAGCGCCCCCGCCGCGCTGCACCCGCGGGAGCCGCGGCCGCCGGAGTCGGGTCGGTTCCGCTCGGTGTGAGCGCAGGGTGCGATCCGCAGCGGTGCAGCGCTCGGGCCTCTCCGCCGCCGCTCGCGCTGCCAGCGCCGCTCAAAACAAAGGGGCCGGCGGGGCATGTGACCTCCGAGCCACCGCACATGATGTCACCGCGCGGCGCGGCGCTGGGAGCTGTAGTCCCGCCGCCCCGCCCGGGCACGGCGCCGGGAAACGGGGCTCGGTGTCCCGGGAGGAGCCGGGGACAGGCGGCGGGGATGGGAGAGCCCCGGCGGCAGCTTCTGTCGCTGCGAGTTCTTGCCACTGCCTTCCCTTTGCCGGGACCGGGGGCAGCGCACTCCCGATGTGCCGGGGCCGGAGGGAGCCCATCCCCCGGTGTGTCTGGGGGAGCACATCCCGCGATGTGCCGGGGCCGGAGGGAGCCCATCCCCCGGTGTGTCTGGGGGAGCACATCCCGCGATGTGCCGGGGCCGGGGGGAGCACACACCCCCGGGGTGCGCCCGACCCGACCGGTCCGTGAGCGGGCAGAAGCTGCAGGTGCATCGAAACCAGCGGTGCATTGGGATGGCACCTTCTAGGGTGACAGTCCCGTGTGGCAGCTCCAGGGAGCCCTACCGAATGCCCCCCAACAAGAGCCATCTCCCAGACCAAAACCAACACTGGGGCTTGGGGTAGCTCTTCAGACTACAAGACCAAAACCAAAACTATTACATGAAAAAAAAAACCACCAACAACCAAAAAAACAAACAAAAAAAACCCCAAACCAAAATAGAATCTTTGTCTACCTGCGCTGCAGCTTCACCTAATTCCAAATTTCCAGTTGCTCTCCAACAGTAACACAACATGGAGTGTTTCCTGCCAACCACAGAAAGCCAAGGTCAGCTTTAAGCTCCACTGTCACAGCTGGGGGTCGCAGCAGTGGCAGCCACTCAACTGCAAATATAAAAGCAGGACCCTGGTGTCATCGCCCTGCAATTTCATGAGCAGGTCTGAGCCTGTCCTGAAGCCCAAATTCACTTCATATCCAAACTATTTGGACACTGGCCCATGCTCCAATACAGGCGATGGAACATGCCTGGGAGTATGGGAATTTATTTTTGCTCTGCCCTTTAGCATAAGCAAACTTGCAAGCCCATAATGCAGAGTGGGAAGGCCAGGGCAGGGACATACATGCTTAAATTAAGTTCATTACCTGGTACTAAATGAGGCCTTATGCAATGCCGTGGAGCTGACGTGGGCAGGTAACTGGCTGTGTTCTCCTTCCTAGAAGGATGGCCTCCCCCTCTGACCCCTACTGCCAAGGGAGAGGGAGAAATACAAGTTCTTTTATTAGCTCCCACCTACTTTGCTCTCCTTAATGCTGGATATCAATCCTAGGCATAATATATCTTTACCTTTGGTGAAACTCTCCAATCCTCTGACCGCAGGATATTCTCCTTGGGCCCTTCCCGGGGATCGTACAAAGCCTTGTGCTCTTGGCAGTAGCTGATGGTGCTCTGTCACTGAAACTGTAAGAAGAGCAGTGTGTGCTCAGGACTCCAGGACCGACTCCCTCTGGAGCAAACTAGGCTCAGATTTTCATAGGCTGAACGGGCTCAGCTTTCCCCTGGGGTCAGGTAAATTGGAGCTTTGCAAAACAGTTAGAACTATTAATTAAAAGGCTATGCTCTGAAAACAGAGTGGAAATGTCCATTGATTTTGGTATGTAAATTGTTTTCATAAAGATCTTAAACAATTGAAACCTTCAACCATTTTGCTGTCAAGCTAGAACTCAGAACTGCCTAATAGACTGCATTAGAAGTGAGAATGTTCAGTCCATTTCTCATCCTCTGGCTGGAAAAGCAACAAGGACCCCAAACAACATAAACAGCAAAGAGAAAATCAGCAGCAAATTCACCTTATAGAGTACAGGTGTGTTGCATTAACTTATTTCACTCACTGAATATAGAAAAAGTTAATAACCTAAAGTCTTACTTGCTACAAAGACATTAAATCTAAGAAGTATATGACCTCGGGAAAATGTTTTGCTTAAAATAGATCTCTTATCTGCTATATCCTCTCGTCTGCCGCAGTCCTTTGAGTCTGTAACTCTTGGGGTCAATATGAGTATGCAGAGTTCACTTGAGAAAACATAAGCAAGATTAAAGGAATGAGTCAGAGGAAGGAAAAAATCAAAACAGGATCAAGATACCTCTGAACTGGCTTGAAGGGACAATGTTTACTCTAATAAAAACTGCACGTGGCAAAAATACCTTGTGTGAAGAGGGTAAATGGAGCATTTAAAAAGAAAATACTAATTAAAAATACTCATTGAGCAATCAATCATTTCATAATGTGCTCATGTATGCATGTGGTCACATCCAGGCACTTCCAGTTCTGAAAGCCAACGTCACCGAGGATGTCTGAAATTAAGGATACTTGAGTTGCCACTACATCCTATTGCTCTTCATTCCTCTGCTAGCAGGAGCATTGCCTGTTCTTTCTCAAGCTGCGCCAAGCATTTCTCTCAAAATAAGCAGTTGCTGCCTGAGAAGCTGAAACCGATTATTAAAGATTACTCATTCCTATAAAGCTTCGTTAATACTTTTTTTAACAACGTAAAGTACTTGTAAAGCATTTAGGCCAATGTTTTCCAAAGAGGTCAGTGATTTTGGAGATTTTGAAGGCTTCTTCAGGGCACTGGAAAGGTTAAAACCTAAAATTAGAAGCCTGCGTGAAGGTTTTGGCCTGCGTCCACCAGTGTTCATGTGCTTTTCTGGTGGTGTTGGATTTGAATACCACCCCCTCCAGGCACTTTTCAGACACACTTCAACGATGCAGTGGGTCACCTAAACAGGTCTGTGCATTCCTCCAGATAGAAGCATCAACTATTTTGGGAAGTTGTGTTACCAGTACGCTCCTGAGAACTTTCCTCTGCTGTGGGGAGCGTGGTGGCTCCTTACCATATTTTTCTAAAATTATGGAAAACCCAGAAGGTTTTCAAGTAGTTCAGACTCACAGAAAACAAAACCAAAGAAAGTCCATGACTGTTGCTCACGGACACTTACGCCAGCCAGTCTGGGGAAGAGCTCGGAGCTGAATGACGGAAGAGATGAAGGTGAGCAGCAACAACTGGGAGCAGGAAGATGAAGAAGAATATAAAGGAGGAGGAGAGTCCAAGCACCACTTCCCTTATCCTGATCTCAGAGAGAAGAGAGCAACATTAAGCCATGAACAACATTAAAAATCCTGAATGCAACACAGGGATGGTATCACCGGATAAAAGAGAGGTTTTAGACATTTGAGTTAGGACAGATGAGTGCAGACTGACAACTAAAAAGCAACTGAAGCAATGTTATGCAGAGCTGTACAACAAATGGAGCTGAGATGAAACAAATCCTTCAGCACTTTTCTATAAAATGTTTTAGTGGACAGAAAGCTTCAAAAAGAAAGAGGTGGCGTTGAGTGACATCACTGCAGAGCCTGATGCAAGTATGCACAGAATGTAATGACAGAAGCCGTTCACCAGGAGCACAAATAGTCAGTACTGAGCAAAAGGAAAGGTGATGTTAATAGAAATTTGTGAGGAGAAGCAGAAGAGTGAGTTCAGTAACTATTGCAGAATTTGCTTTTTGAGTATGTCAGGCTGGATTAGAGGATGAAAGTATAGAAAAGTCTCTTTATGTCATAAGGGGTGATCCTCCCCCTCTGGTCTCATGAGTCCTCACCTGTAGAACCATGTACAGTTCCGGTGCCCCCAACATGCTTGTAAATGTTGGAACAAGTCCAGAGGAGGCCATGGAATGGGTAAGGGGATTAGACCACCTCCCCTACAAAGACAGGCTGGAAATTTGGGGCTATTCAGTTTGAAGAAGAGACGGTGCAGAGGCACTAGCACTGGTTTCCCAGGGAAAGTTGTGGATGCCCCATCCCTGGCAGTGTTCAAGGCCAGGTTGGATGGAGCTCTGAGAAACCTGGTCTAGTGGGAGGTGTCCCTGCCCATGGCATGGGGATTAGAATGAGATCATCTTTAAGGTCCCTTCCAACACAAACCATTCCATGATTCTATGATAAAAGACTTCTTAAAGAAATACAGAGAACACACCAAAATTTGCTAAAATCCTTCTGTGACTCTGAACTCTTTCACCATCATCCTGCCAAAAGTCCTGTGGGTCCCATTGACTTGAGCTGGTCTGCTGGGATAATCAGCAGGTACACCCATTTAGGCAGGAAGCCACTTCTCCGGGACCAGTCCCTTTCAACCTTTCATCTTCTCATCACCTGTTTCAAATGGCACCTGCACCAGGAAATATCATCTGCAACACAGATTGCTGTGCTGGCACTTGCATAGGAAGGGCCCTGGAAAACCAGTACTCCCTCCCAGACACCACCTACTCATCTTTTCCATTTTCATTACCTCCTGGCTGACTCTGTAGGTCCCCCTTTCCTCTGGACCCTTGCACTGCGTGTCCTAACTCTTCACTCAGGCCAGTAATGCTTGCTTGGGTGTCTGTCTGCCGTGGTGAGACAGGAGGACGAGTGTCCTGCCAGGGGAGTGAAATGGGATGTCCTCCACAGCCAAATGCTGTTCTCACACCCCTGGGGCCGGGGCTGGTGTTGTCCCCCTACCTGCACACTCAGTGCTCACTCCTGCTCAGCCAGGGAGGCACTAGGATTACAGTGTTACTTCCCTTCTACACAAAAGCCACCTGGTAAAACATCAGTAGCATGTTTACGTATTCAGCCCTGCCACTAATATTGCATATCTCCCTGTGCACCCTGGCCCTCACTAGGTCAACCCGTGTTCCTATCCCGTGCAAATCCCCTCTCTTCCCACTCATCCCAGTAGCCATTCACTGCTGTAAGCACCTCAAAACAAGGCCCATGCCAACAGTCCTCTTGTGCAGAAAGTTATGTGTCTAATTTTTTCCACCCAGTATCTCCCATGTTCCAAGTCTGGGAGATGGCTATGGGAGTGTAATTGCAAAGCTGGGAAGAATGAACATTGCATCACTGCTGCCATAAACACTGAACTATTTCTTTTTGTACAGCACTCAGAGTATCGAGATACCATGAAACCAATGCCTAACCAGGGAGACAGAGTCTGCTGGTGTTTGTCTGGTTCTTTTCTTCAGGGAGAAATAAGAGACAAAGAAATAAAAGTTGGTTGAGCTCTTGGTCACATAGGTGACAACTTGAAGG